ACTTATTAAGGTGATGACTGAAGTGAGCATGAAGAAGTTAACTGAACTGTTTAACGGCATATACGATTCAGGTAATATCCCAGAGGAATGGCTATTGCTAACATTTGTAACACTACCACAAAAACGATCTGCGAAAATTTCCGAACTATCAACCTTATGAGTCATGCACTTATGATTTTTGATAAAATCACATGCCAGAATTTACAAGAAAGGCAAAGAAAATGTCGGTGAAATGCAATTGGGATTCCGCAATTCCATGCGTACACGTGAAGCACTTTTCATCTTACAAGTCCTACTTGTGAAATGCTGCGATATCAATTGTGATGTCTATATTTGTTTTATTGACTACACCAAGGCATTTGACTGTTGTCAGCACCAGAAGATGGTCGCCGCCCTACAAGAGTAGGATTGGATGAGAAGGACATTCGGATCATCATGAATTTATACTGGAACCAGCGTGCTCAAGTCAAGGTCGAAGACCACCTGACCGACCAAGTGAAGATCATGCGAGCAGTAAGGCAAGGCTGTGTGCTCTCGCCGACTCTATTCAATATATACTCTGAGGAAATTTTTACTGAAGCCCTCACAAACCTAAAGATGGGAATCCGTGTGAACGGTGAATACATCAATAAAATCCGCTACGCCGATGACACTATGTTACTAGCAACCAGCCTAAATGATCTACAAGCCTTACTAGACTGAGTGAGAACTGTGAGCGTAACATACAGACTAGACTTTAATATGAAGAAAACCAAATTCATGGTTGTCAGCCGTGCAAATTTAGATCCCTGGGTACTAATGGAAGGTAGCGAAGAGATCCAGATAGATAGATCGATAGATTCAATTGGACTACGCACAAGAGATTAGATCCAAAATTGAAATGGCACAGTCTACATTTATCAAGTTGAGATTCTTGCTGAGCTGCAGTGATCTCAGTTTAGGAACCAAGATGAGAATAGTGAGGTGCTACATTCTTCAAATGTTGTTATATGGAGTTGAAGCCTGAACAACTACGCAAGCTAATGAAAAATGGATTGAAGCCTTCCAAGATGTGGATCTACAGGAGGATACTAAAAATATCGTATGTGGACCATGTCACCAACGTTGATGTCCTACAGCGCATAACAAAAGAAAAAAAAGTGATTAATTTAGTGAAACAACGTAAACTTGAGTACCTCGGTCACGAGATGCCAAACGAAAAAAAATATCGAATTCTTCAACTCGTTATGCAGGATAAAGTATTTGGCAGGAGAGGACCGGAACGCTGTCGTATCTCGTGGTTGAAAAACCTCCGACAATGGTTTGGGTTGACCTCTGCGGAGCTGTTTCGCAGAGCAGTCAACAAAACCATGATAGCCTTGATAATCGCCAACATCCGGACCGAATAAGGCACTGAAGAAGAAGAAGTAAGTAAAACATTTTTCGCAATGTCTAAACACAAAAAAGGCAAAGGGTACTGTTGGTAAGGAATCTTATAGCTAATTTTCCAGACCATGGGACTTCTTCAAGATTTATGGGACGGACGAACAGACGACACAATTTGAAGGATATGTCGAGTTCTAATAAATGGTTGGCATTGCAGTCGTTTAATAGCAGACCGCTTTTCTAATTTACGTAATTAATATTGTGGAATTGACTACTATATGTAAATATTTAAATGTGAGTTTACCTTGTACATAATACTTAGTTTATGACTAATTTATCGGGAAAAAGTTACTAAATTACAGAAAAGAGTTTGTGAAGTGTTAAAAATTGGTCCAATATGTATTTATTATTTTAAATGCATTATTTACATATTCCAATTCCCTGAAACGGAAATTATTGAAAAACGCTGATCAGCCAGTATCTTAAGAATTATTGTTTTTGCGATGCATAAATATTATTATCGACATATAATTGCATATGCGTTTAGCTCAAACATGTATGCCTTATATAACCTACAGTTTTCAGCTAGACTAATTTAACTGTTGTGTCAGTTCTAAATTCACTAAAGTATTGTTTATAGTAGTTCATAAATAATTACATTTGAAACAAAAAGCACCTTATCAAAATTAAGACACTGATGCAAAACACTGATGTAGTATATATACAAAAGAGCTTGTAACAATTAAAGCAATTATCAATAAGATAAAACCACTGGAATGTATCCCACACACCTCATCTACATTCTTGTACATTTCCGTTTAACAAAAATCATCTTATGCCAAACAACCCGATCGATTATATTCTAAAATTGTCCTATTTGGTATAAGACAGGTTTTATCGTGTATAAGGCTTATCAAAATCACATATGACTAATTATTATTGGTGACGGACAAGGTTTTGTGGTCAAAACTACCTGATACAGAAATTATAGCTCAAAATATCGGTTGGCACTCTACGCCGATAACTACTAGCACAATTGATATTCAATAGAGAGTTAATTTTTTGATGTTTTATTTTATAAAGTAAAAGAATATCCACCTTTTACACAATCAGTTTTTTTCAAACTGTAATATAAAAAAAGTATGCTCAGCTTGGAATATTTTGACATATTAATTGTCGGCAACATCCAACACAAAAATTCCTACTCTCTCAGTATTAATAGCTCAAATAAACTTACTGTGGTAGACTTCTTTCAATAAAAAAAAAATAATCATAAATATTGAAAGTGTATATTCAATAATTTTAATTAAAACCTTTACATTTGTAAATACTAATCGATGATTGACTGTAAGATTTCAAAAATAAGCTTTTGTTTTAATAGATTTTGTTTTATTTTGTTAATAAACTGCATGTGAATATTTTTTGTCTGGTAGGCTTTGTTGCATAGTAATTTCCAGCCACTGCCAGTCGCTCAAAATTTAACCAACGTACAAAAAAATTTTTATTAAGTTTACTAGACAGGTGGTAGTCGAACAGCAAATCGAGTATATCTATTATTCGAAAACTAAAGGTTGGAGTGACAAATTAATACGTCAGCTGGCAAAAAGGAACTGTGTATACATATATTTACATTTATGTAATATCTGCTTGTGCTCATACTTTAATTTGTAGCACTGTGCGACTATTGATTTGTCGAAGATCAACGAAAAGACAGACAGTCGACACAGCGCATAATGGCACAGAATATTTTAAGATGTAGATAGAATAGGCTTGACACACTTAGAAAGCTTTAACACTAAATTGCCATTCTAAATGAACCTGTCCATAAGTTTTATCACGTCTTAGAGGCGTTATCATTCGACGCTAAATAGGATGATATAGCAAGGAAACATAAGTTAAAAGCTCGTTTAGGTTCTTTTCAATGATACCTACACAATTATTAATTTAAATGTCTTCTTCTTCTAATTCCATGACCGTTATCGATTGTTGGATATCATGTTGACTAACATATTCGCTATTGTGACTTTGTTGACAATAGCTCGAAATAATGATGTAGTCGATTTTCCGCACTGTGTTAGATTTTTCAGCCATGACGCTCTTCTTTTACCAGGACCAAGTTTACCTTGGATCTGTTCCTGAATGATCAGATGTAAAAGTTCACATTTTTCAGGGTGTCTCATAATGTCACCGAAGTATTCCAGCGTGCGTCTCTTTATTATATTGACCTGTTTGGTTCAGACGTATAAGGACCTCCTCATTTCTAACTCATTGTAAATTTAACACAGCTTGTTCGTAGTAGTCGTCTATATAAAACATCTTAAAGACTTCCAAGCATTTAAGCATCGCCTCACTTACGGTCCACGTATACACTCCATATAGTAGCATTGAAAAAATATAGTAATAAGTCAGTTGAACGCGCAGGTCAATACTAAGATCGTGGCTGCAAAGTATGTTCCTCATTTTTACAAAAGTGGCTCGGGCTTGTTATATGCGGCTTTTAATTTCTACGGTTAGATCCTAGCTGACATTGATATTACTGCCGATATACAAAATTTTCTCTACTTTGCCCTATACGGCATCTCAGACTTTTACTGTCATCCTGTATATAGTTTTTTTCGCTAACTATCACATATTTAGTTTTCTTAATGTTGAGTTTTAATCACATGTTTGTTTTATTTTGTTCATTATATTTTAAAGGTCTTCTCCACAATTAGCACTAAGGTTTCGTCGGCATATCTAATATTATTTGCGGTTAAGTTTAACAACCTCAAAATATGAATTTCAATCATTAACAATTTCCCCGTCTTACTTTATGAACAACTAAACCGTAACGAGTAACTGAACTAAGATACTCGTTCATAGTATTTGACAGTAATCATTAAAAACATGTGCGAGCTAACATCATTTTGTAAGATAATTTTAAATGAGTTCAGAAATTTTTAATTGTTTAGTGTCATTAAAAAGAACAAAGTGTCATTAAAAAGAACAAAGTGTTATTAAAACGATATCAAATTCCATATTTGTCATATGGTGTTACTTAAAATTATCTTCCAAAATCGTGATAATCCGCCATTTTTAACGATTACGTCACTGAAACTATATAAGAATTTTGAATAGGTACTATATTTCAGCTAACTTGTATTTGGTGGATCAAATACTATACTGGATAAAGACATTTTAGACGGGCACTGTAAGTATGAAATTAGAATGCAAACACAACTGAGAGATATACATATAGAAAATGTATTTATGACGGTTTTTATCCTCTTTTTGACTATATTAGCAGTCTTGTCAACTGAATATTTTATTTAATAAATAATATTGCTTTTGCTGAACAGGAAAAACTCGACCGAAGGAAATTGCCTAGACACTTAAATATACACATTATAAAAAATGTACTAGTTTTGTACAACAAATATTAAACTGGAATTACGAGTTCATATTTCCAAAAAAAAATATCAATAGGATCTTCTATAACTAGATATAAGCAATAAATATGTACTATAAACTATTCCCCATAATTCTTAAAAATTGCAAAACAAGTTAATATATAAACATAATAATGTTGCAAAAAACGAAATGTATATATATATATATATATATATATATATATATATATATAAAATAGGAAAATTGTTTTGAATTACAAGGAAAAATGGCACTAAATTGGCGACAAGTGATCTTAGACGTATTTCTATTCAATTCACTCGGTATTCTATTGTCATTTAAACATGGCACTCCTATGATAATTTTCATTGAATGTTGCTAATGAAGACACTAAAATGGGAAATGCAACCTCTGTTAATATATAAATCTAAGGAAAGGGTTGGAGTCGCAAAATTATTCATTAGATTGTTACATCTCTATTCCGTTCTATTTATTGTGCTAGTAGCTACCAACTAATCACACAAAGACAGAAAGAAAAAATCCAGACATGAAACGTTCTATTCAATTACGTTCTGTATCACTTAGTCTAACAAATTTTCTCTACCGAAAAACCTGATTTATCGATACACTCCTATTAAATCTCAACCTTTATTTACACAGATTTCATCCAATGATTGTTGCAGTTAGCTCTCCGACTTAGGTACGTTTATTTTATCGCTGTAGGCAGCGTGGACGCTTTCACAAACAAAGCGGTATTGACTCTGAAACAAAAATTATATTAGTGAAAAAAGAAGTTCATTTTCGAAGTATCCATTAATACGACTCCTTCTGTTTAGAGAATCTCATTCTAAATTACCACTGTCACAATAAGAAAAAAAAGTTAAAATTTATACAAAACAAAAACCAACAAAAAAATTTAATGTCAATAAAATGTACAACTAAGTGTTATGTAGACATATATCGAAAAAATAACAGAACAAATGAGATAGACAAAGAGGTTTAAATCTTTGTAAGTAGATATATTTAAAACCCCTTAGAAGGGCTACATCAAAATAACAAACGTTTTCGGAATAATAATTCCATCATCAGGTTAAAAGCCTAAAATAAGTATGAACCATTTAATTAAAGCAAACGTGATTGGAATGTTGACTAAGGTTAGAAAAGCAAAATGGTTATACTTACAGGTTAACATGCCTGAACCACCAAAATATTAGGGTAAAACCCTTTACAGAAATTAAAGTTACCAAAAATGTGCATATTGTTGTTAAAAATGAATGATGTTTAATATTTTATTAGATTTAACTTCAGGCAACATATAACCATGCCTCACGTGAGTACCAGCGTCCGGACGGTAGACCTCTTCAAACGGACTTCAGCTGGTAACTGATTGACAAGATAACTATGAACGGTGTCGTTCATAGGTATCTTGTCCTTCGTGATGTTTTAGATATATTATGCTGCTCCGCCTCTGGGGTTTCCTTCTGCATCAGGATGTGCTGCGTTGTAGATCTTATGCGAGGTGATTTTAAATTGCGCACTTGCGAATAAGTGCGTCTCAGATAGTAATAGAGTGTCAACTTTATTGTGGCTAAGAATATTTCGATTTCTTGTTTACGTTTTAGAAGTCCATTTGCGTTCCATTCAGTAATTCTTATTAGTTGTAATGCTATCAATTCTTTTTACTAATGAGTTTTCTTAACTGTTGTTCTAGTGTCAATAGATTTATTGTTTTTTGTTGCTTTTCTATTATTTTCTGTGAACTCGAGATGATTGTGATAAAGTGAAATTGACTGTCTTATTGATTTCCATTTGTTTTTAATTGTGGCATAGTTATAGGTTGCTGCTTTTGAACTACTTGTGTATATGTGCGATTGGTTGTTGGGTGCGTGTTTTCGTTGTGGTTGGTGTCAATGATTGAGGAGGGCATTTGAGTGGTGTTTGTTTGTAATGACTTCATTCTTTTTACTGCTTTTTTCAATTTTATGTAAACTCATGCAGCCAAGGACTTATTCCCGATAAATGATAACTAGATATGCTTTTATAGATTATATAATATTTGTATAACTTATATAGTGGTATAAATATATGTGTTATAAGTTGGAGTATCGTATTAAAAATTAAATAAAATAAGAATATTAGAATAATTAAAAACTCATTAAATACTTACAGCATTCTGTATCATCATAGCTCTTTGCTCTCTCATAGTCTTTACTATTTCCAATGGATACACTGGTTCACTAACTTCCATTAAGCATAACGCCGTCTCCATTAACACCATAACACCGGTTCTTCCTATTCCTGCACTGCAATGCACGACTATGGGAAAAGAACCTTTTCTTGCCGCCCTCACTTTTTCGGTAAAATTTAAAAATTGTTGCGGAGAGTCAGGCACACCGTGATCAGGCCATGCTATATATTGCATATGTTTTATATCCCTGGATTCGTTGTTCTGAAAATATAAATTAACATTTTATACAAAACATTTTATACCAAAATGTCGAGACTGACAAAAAGATAGTGTCGTCGTATTTATATTCTATGAGAAAGCTTTCGACAAAGTTAAATATAGCATTCTCATGGAATGTCTAGCACAAAAGGACTTGACAAAAATGATATTAACGTAGTGAGAAATCTCTATCAGAACCAACAGGCTGTCGTAGCATTAAATGGAAATAGTACAGATGAGCAAGAGATAAGTAGAGGAGGTAGACAGGGTTGTGTACTTTCACCAGTATTATTTAATATATACGCCGAAGTGTTATTTATACAAGCATTTGAAAACTGTACAGAAGGGATCCAGATAAATTGTGAAAATATAAATAACATGATCAGTGAAAGTGAGAAAGACCTGCAAAGGCTCCTAAACACAGTTTGTGATACTGGGGAATAATTTGGTTTAACAAAAAACATAAAGAAAACAAAAATCATGGTTATCAGTAAGAGGGGTAAAGTCACAACAAGGATCCAAATAAAAAAATGAAGGTATTGAACAAGTGGACAAAATGAAATACTTAGTAGTCTGAATTACTGAAGATCTAAATCCAAAATCAGAAATTAGGTCCAGAATAGAGCAGCCTTTTTGAAAATAAGAAAATTTGAGTAACCAAAAACTTAATCTGCAAATCAGATATCGAATGGGAAAATGTTATATTCACTTTATTCTTCTTTATGGTGAAGATTGGACTGTTAATGTTGACTTAATGAGAAAGCTCTTAACTTTTGAGATGTAGCTTTTTAGGAGGATTTTAAAAATACCATGAACCGATGATATTACGAACGAAATGGTCTTGCACAGAATGGGAAGAGACAGATAACTTTTGACCACCATTAAAAGGAGAAAGACAGCATATTTGAGGCACATACTTAGAAATGATAACTACGAGTTGTTGCAACTGATTATGAAGAGTAAAATCCAAGGATCGTTCTGGTAGACGACAAATATCCTGGCTGAAAAACATTCGCGACTGGATCGGGTTAAACACACAGATGCTTTTAAGAAAGCCAACATAAGTGGAGTCGGCGCGGGAAGAAGAATATGAATTTAGACCCATTTCTTCATGGAAGCAGAAAACAACCTTAGATATTTTATGATTTCAATCCCTCTGGACAGATAAACATTAAACAAAAATATTGTATACTTTTTACTATCAGAATATTAAACATATTGTTCGAATGAAAAACAAAACCAGCAGTGGAGACAACTGAGCAGAATAACTCGAGAGTTGAAGTGATAGTGAAAAACAAAAGTTATGAAATAAGGACAATTTCCAGAACTGTTAGCTGCTTGTGTTACTATTGAAATAACGTTTTCAATCATTGAGTTTTTTTCACTACAAGAGGAGAAACTGAAGTTGAACTGAAAAGAATATTAACTCTTTTATTATAAACATTTCACATTTTGCATACATCTTATTTTAACCATTCACATATTAACCATAAAACACTATCTCATGCGGTTAGCTTGTAATCACCGGTTTATGACGGTTTATATTTTTTTATAATGAGGGGACACATTACTAGGGACGTTATTTGATATTCACAAATTAATGAATATTCAGCTTCCAATCGTATCGAAGAAAAAGACCGGTACCTCCAAACGAAAATACATAATTTCGCGCGTCTCACCATAATTGGCGTTATACTTCAAAATCTATAGCGAAGATATCGTATTACAATTTACATTTATAAAATTATTTTCTTACCTTAACATCTAATAAAACAAAATCCCTAAAAACAAAACTTCCAGACGGATCAGTCTCTTCACCAACGCATTTTACGATGATATTTTGCATCGTAAGTGCTTCTCCCAATCCCGGCCAATATTTATGACATTTCGCTCGGCCCCTTTCAATTATCGTAGTTAACATTACTATTAAATTACATTCTTCTTCGAGGATCATTTGCCAGAAATCTTCGGTGGTTGCAGGCAGTGGTCCTTGAGTTGCGATATATCGGTTGATTGTTTCTGTTCCAGATATTGACATGTTGACGTAGTTGGCGTTGATGTAATCGCCGTTTGAACCATTCTTTAAGACTACTCTCGTTGTATCATCTAAAATAAATAACGTGATATGGTCAAATCAATAAATATAAGTCAAGTATTGGATTTTTAAAAATGGTCATTTTGTGGTGTCTGATATAATACGATAGATAAAGAGGTGAGATTTGGAGTGTCGGTGGTAATTAGAGCAGAACTCAAAACAAAGATATTTATTGTATTACACTGTACGTCTACATTACATTACAAGCAGCTAAAACCTTTAAAAGTTAATTAAAGTCATCAATAGAATAATTCTGATCAGATAAAACAATTATAGTAAATATATATATATATATATATATATATATATATATATATATATATATATATATATATATATATATATATATATATAGTCCCAAGATTCCTAATAGGAACATAGGGCTTCCACAAAGTGTCTCCAGCGAACTCTATTTCTGGCTAGTGCTTTGATTTCAAGCCAGGATTTTCCCATTGTTCTCCCTTCGTCCAGTACTGTCCTTCTCCAAGTTCCCTTAGGTCTGCCTACTTTCCGTCGGCCTTGGGGATTCCAATCCAGCTGTAATATCAACCCTTAAATATCAGAATTACAGATAAAATAATATTATAATTCATACTCGTGTAACATTTTGTTTATGTAAACATTTGGTAATTTAAATCGAGGACATTCATATATAACATACTCTAATTAAAACAGCCAGTCAGCACTCTAGTAAAATTGCACGACTTACTTGTGGTGTAGGTCAGGGAATACACTTGACACGAATAGTAACAAGAGCGCTGAGCCAGCAAGGCCGAGGCTATTAAAAGCAACACCAATCATTCTCGGGGATCTTAATTATTATACCGACACGATGGCCAGCGTCAATTAAGTACTGATATATTTAAGTTTATAATAGTGAAATATTGTACAAAGCAGTGATTAATAAATGGGCAACTAGTTACAACAATATTATTTACTACCCATGATGATATTTACCATACAGCGCTGTCCTGGCAATGTCATTTGGCGGTCTACGGAATGTGTGGCCCAGCCATCTCCATTTTCTTCGCCTTATTTGCTTTATGACATTTTCTTGGTTGCTTTGGTTCCATAAATTTTCATTGGAGATTCGGTTAGGCCAAAATATACGAAGGATTTTTCGTAACGCTCTATTGATGAAAACTTGTAATTGGTGTACTATGGGTGCTGATATCTTCCACGTTTCGCAGCCATACAGTAATGCAGCTTTTACATTTGTGGTGAAGATTTTTAGTTTCGTTTTAGTTGGGTAAAATTATAGTAAAGCAATCTTGTAAATCCCTTTCTCTATCTCAGAAAGGGTAATGGTACTGAAGTTAGTGACATCTCATGCCAAACTCAATTTGATACAAGTTTATGCTCCTACGGCGAATGCCGACGAAGAAGTAGAATTATTTTACCGTGATATCGAAGAGGCACTTAGAATAACGAAATTAAGAGAAATCACGATAGTCCTAGGTGATCTCAATGCTAAGATTGGAAAGGGACAAAGCGGAAAGTGTATAGGAAACTATGGTCTGGGAAATCGAAACGAGAGAGGAGACCGTCTGTTACAATTCTGTCACGAGCAGAACTTTTTATACAGACGACTGTATACATGGCGATCGCCCGCAGATACATAGGAGAAAGTAGTCAGGAACCAGATAGACTACATTATGATCAATGAAAGATACCGTAATGTTGTTAAAGCCGTGAAAGCATATTCTGGATCAGACGTGGCCTCAAGATCACAATCCACTTATCGCCAAGATTACACTTACCCTTAAAAATGTTAAAAGACATCAAAGAATCCCTACAATAGACACAAGAAAACTTAAAGAACCTCAAGTAATAGAATGCCTCCAACATGAACTGCAACAAATTGAACACAAACACCAATAATATTGACGAGTACTGAGATCGACTAATACATCGTCTACTGGAACCCTGCAAAGAAATACTAAAGACTAAAGAAAAGAAGAATGGATGAATGACGAGATACTCAATATGATGGAACAAAGGAGACAATTTCAAAAAAAAAGGACAACAATAAATACAGAGAGATAAACCACGAGATCAGGAAGATGATAAAGCAGGCAAAAGAAAAATACTTTGCAGAGCAATTCGATGATGAAAGAGGAGATCTGGAGCACATAGAACTTACGTCAGAAGAAATAGGTCCATATATTACAAAAAAAGAAATATTCCACGCATTAAAAACAATGAAGAATGGGAAAATCCCTGGCCCTGACATGCTTCCAATAGAAATCCTAAAAATTCTAGATGAGAAGCACATTGATGTTTTAGTGACACTCTTGAACCAAATTTATAGTTCAGGCGTAATACCCAAAGAGTGGCTAACATCGATTTTCACTTGTCTCCCAAGAGAATGCAGAGATTACCTCACCATTAGCTTGATGTCTCATATGCAAAAGTTACTACTTAAAGTCATCCATAACCGAATATATCGCAAACTGGACATAGACGTTAATGATACACAATTTGGTTTTCGGAAAGGCCTAGGAACGTGTGAAGCTCTTTTTTCACTTAATATATTGATAAAAAGATGCCTGGATGTCAATCAAGATATATACGCATGTTTTATTGACTATAATAAAGCATTCGATAAAGTACGACATAAACAATTAATAAATGTCCTGAAATCAAAGAAGACTGACTACAACGACCTCAGGATCATATCAAATTTATACTATAAACAGCGAGCAAAAGTAGGTGTTAACGAACAGCTGTCAGAAGAAATTGAAATTAGGTGTGGAGTGAGACAGGGATGCGTATTGTCGCCAATTCTTTTTAATGCCTACTCCGAGTAGATCCTGAAAAACGCTCTTGAGGGTGAAACAGCTGGAATAAAGGTAAATGAAGTTCCCATTAACAACATTAGATATACGGACGACACTGTGATCTTAGCCGAAAACATTGAAGATCTTCAGAGTCTGGTGACCAGAATAGCAGAGTATGGAAAAGAATATGGTCTAACAATGAATGTCAAGAAGACGAAATTTATGAGAATATCGAAAACTCAAAGAAATAACGAGAATCTTCTAATAAACGGAACCAACGTCGAACAAGTGGACCAATATGCATATCTGGGAACAATGATTATTCTACAAATGATTACAATCAGAAGATCAAAATAAGAACAGAAAAGGTTAGAAAAAATTTCAACAAAATGAGAAGAGTGCTATGTACCAGAGATTTAAAACTGGAACTAAGAGTTAGGTTGGCGAGGTGCTATGTTTTTTCGACTTTATTTTATGGAATGGAATCTTGGACCTTGAATGCGACATCAATGAAAAAACTGAAATCATTCGAGCTATGGGTGTACAGAAGAATATTAAAAATATCGTAGACAGAACACGTCACAAACAAAGAAGTTCTTGGAAGAATAAATAAAGAAATGGAAATTTTAAACACAGTAAAAACAAGAAAATTAGAATATCTTGGATATGTTACACGTGGAGAGAAATACACCCTGTTGCAATTGATTATTCCGGGAAAGATACAAGGAAAGAGAAGCATAGGAACATCAAATGAACTTTTCAGAGCAGCCGTCTCTAAAGTCCGAATAGCTATGATGATTGCCGACCTCCGCCGCAGAGATGGCACTTGAAGAAGAAGAAGAATCTTGTAAAAATTCTTCAATAAGAAATGCATTTATGAATCAAAAGTAACTCGTAAAAGAATATATTTGGCGAATATATCGAACAAATGTTTCGTAAGGAAAAAATAGGCAGTACAATTAAGTAAAGACAATTTCAGTCAAAAGAAGACTAAATTGGTATAGTACTCCAAAATATAAAACCAGTAGTATTAGAGAAAATAACAAATTAAGAAAGACCCATTTCAATTGAGGTGATCCTAAGATGCAGAAAATAACCGACATTATAATTAACACCAAACCTGTAAGGCCACTGAAAAAAGTTAAACAGTGATCTCTTTACTATGCTGGATAAAACATTTTTATTAGAAATGATAAACTCTGTTGTTTGTGAGTAGGATTAAACCTGTCTGCATACATCGCCGCTACGTCAGGATGAAATCATGAAATTAAGAACAACAACATCATCTATTTTTCTTTGTGCTTCTTCTCTAATGGGATTAGGCTTTGTGTGTCCCATCATCACAAAGGTATTATGTCCATCTTTTTAGGGGCTTCCCCTATATTTGTTTTGTCTCTGGGATTGTAATCGAATATTTTTTAGAGGTATCTTGTTTTGGATCGTCTATACAGTTAATTCCATTTATTTTTGCAACTATCTTATCCTCTATGGCATATATATTTATTAGATCTTTTTGGGCAGTGTTTAATTCAATTTATTTTTGCAGCTATCTTGTCGTCTATAGCATATATTTATTAGATCTTTTTGGGCAGCGTTTAACTCTTCTTAGAATTCTCACCTAATAATTTGCCACTACTTTGACTGTAGCACAAGTTTTTATTGCGTTTGAAAGATGTGTGTATAATGTCATTCGTTATTTTCCTGATCTTGCTTCGATCGGCTCAGTTAAAAACTTTTTCGTAGACGGTGAAGGCTATTTGGGTTTCAAGGTTAAACTCACTTTGTTTTTCTGTGAGTATTTTGATTATAAATATGCCATTAGCGCATTAGCGCTCTTTTTGGAATCCGTTTTGTTCTTCTTGTATACATAATTTAGTTTAAATCTTTAGTCTGTCATTTGCTATCTTTGAGTAGATTTTATACGCGGTATTTAATAAAAAAATGCCTTTGCACATTCGGCAGTCGTCTCTTTGGCTACTTTTTGAGGCATCATATAGTGAAAAGCAATTGTTGGAGGTTGCTCATAGTAGAAATTATCAGAAAGAATATTTTGTTGATAACTGTGTTCGCAGTAATGGGCATACCCTTGTGCTTAGCTTTCCTTCATATTGTTCTGAAGAAGCTATTTTCTTGTGGCATTTTAAAGTAATTACTATTTAAATTGAAATAATATAAATATTTAAAATACTCCCATTTAAATAGTAATTCCTTCATATTATTGTACATTGAACCCAATAGAGTTAATATGGGCTTAACTTAAAGGAAATATCAGGAGAGGAAACGTGGCTCCTAAATGTTCATCTACTGTACTCCAGTTAATTAGAAGAGAAGTCACAAAGATCACGGCAACCAACTGGAAAAATGTTATCATTATTATGAATATTTTTTAGTGGCCTTTTGTTTTGGATCAATTATATATGTTAATTCCATTTATTTTTGCATCTGTCTTGTCGTCTATAGCATATACAGTTATTAGATCCTTTAGGCAGAGTTTAACTCTTCTTCTCACGTCGCTATTTACCACTATTTTGACGCAGCAAAAGTTTTTATTGCGTTTGAAAGATGTGTGGATATTTTCATTCGTTATTTTCCTAATCTTGCTTCGATAAACTTTTCGTAGACGATGAAGGCTATTTGGGTTTCAACAAATAACAGCGACGAAGACAAATAACAGCGTTTTCAACAAATAACCTTAATAACAGCGATGAAGACATGAGAAATATGGGAATACATGCTTGGCGTAGGAAGGCGATGGATAGGGACGACTGAAGAGAAATTATTGAGGAGGCTAGGGCCCCCCGGCGTTGTAAAGCCAGAATAATGATGATGTTTATTCCATCAATTCCTGCACATTTTTCATGTCTTGGAGGATCGTTTGTAGTTCATTGATTGTTATTACATCGCTGTTATTATTTCTGATCTCTTCTTGTGTATACCAGAGTTCTTTGTGGTGGTGTATAGGTCAGACAGGCGAGTAGTGGATTATTTCCTAACGCAGGTACTCACAGGACACGGCTTTAGAGCCTATCTTTCTAGGTTCAGGAAAGTGAGAGGCTTATAAGCAATTCAGACTGTTGGGAAGGAGGAAATGCCCTGCTAGGAGTGACGCCGTTCTACGAGCGATGAGTCTTCCACGCGCTATCTGGAACGGGGTTCCTCTCGAGAATTTCGCTGCTGACGTATTTTTAAGAAAAACCTACATAGCTAAATATTATTACCAGATACCTACTATATTATATTGTTTAGTATTATAAAGTTAGAATAAAATAGTAATACTATTTTATATATTTGAATTTATTTTCATATGATTACTTCATAATAACTTCTTAACATTTGGCTCAAGCATTCAAGGCAAGACTATAGCTAGTTTACTAATACTAATTGACAAGAGTGCACTAGGTATTATAGTATTAAAATTAGTAATTATAACTCAAAGAATAGTAGTAACTTTAAAATAGTTTGAAGTAAATAAAAATTGCTAAATTACTAAAAGAACTAATAAATAAAAAAGTAAATGCACCACTTACATGGCAATATATCCCTGTAACGATTCTTATTGACATTCGGTTGTTTGAGCGATTCGTCACAGGTGAGATCAGGATGTTTCCTAAAAAGTGTTTCATATCGCGCTATCAGAGCCCCACTAGCCAATCCGTCAGCCAATAGAAGCATACTTTGCTGAAGCGCATTTCCAGGAGAAGACGGTTCGTTCTCCCCCACAGGTACATACTGATATGGAGGTTCCTCGAAGTCTTCGTAGCCTTGGTAAAGTACATTCGGTTTTACAACTAACACTAATTTTCCTAAAAAATAATTTTCTTGTTAATGAAAAAATATACAATAGATGCCCATTTGACGTAACCTAATAAAATAATAGTTAGTGCTCGAAGTTAATAATATCCGTTAATAATAAAAAATGTATGAAAAAGCTATTATAACAATTTAAAATACCAAAGATAATAATTTACAGTAATTTGAACGTGACAAAACCAGTTTAGTATTTTAGGTATGAACATGCTATTGAGATTGCTTTTATCCAGTGATTGTAAGAGTCTTATTCACTTCAATTGTACAATTTTATAGTTATGATAAACACTTTGTCAGTTTTATGTTAGTTATACCCGTCATATTTCAAGAACCCTCGGTGAGGTGAAGCATTGCATGTTGTGGGATCATGATCAGACAAAATCTATATTCCACAAAACATGAAAATTATTAATTATATGAAATGTTTCATGTTGTCTATTTCTTAAACTATACCACTATTAACATGCCTGATAAAATTTATGGTGGAATCAAGTACCGTGTAGCGTTTACGCTACTGACTAGTCCAATTTAAACCCCTCAAGAAATTTTTATTACCCGCCTACGATCGATTTTGAATCGACATTTTCCCCCACACGCGCTGTTATCGCTTTGAAAGGAAGATCGATTTTGTGCGGAAGCGAAGCGGTTAGTTTTGGTCAGAACTGATACGCAGACACGCCAACCGGTGAAATTGTTCACCTTAAGTGACGGAATTGGAGCAAGGAAGATAATTTGGGGAAGAATAAATTAATTTATAAATAAAATACATATCTTAATAATAATAAGTAAAATAATAAAATCAATATTCATTTATGAGTTCCACATAAAAAGGAAGAGTTTTTTTGTTGGCGTGCTGCGAGCTCCATGTAAGTAAATCATTTTATACGTATTATCTCTTTATCATATAATCAAATTTATCATTGTATTTAGTATTTCTTTAGAGATTTATTTTTGAGTTCCGAAATAATTTAAATATAAAATTTCCTTGATTTACTTACAAAGAACATAAGGTCATTTTTTTTATATAGTCAAACTAAAGTCCGATCTAGTCCATATCTTATCATTAAGTTTTTTTGGTTCTTTTTTTTTACCTAATTTTTTTGGTGGAATATAAAAGGTTCTACAAATGTGGTACAGCCTTCTGTATTCTGCGCATGTTCTTTTCATGGCGCAAGCTTGCCATGCCTACGAAAGTAACTTCATAAATTTGACATGATGTTTACTTAACCTAATACCTAATGTTTTGATGTTTTGTTTTGGTGCAGTCAATCCATGCTGCTACACCTATTGAATTACATATTTATTAAATTAAATAATCATTTTAGATTCCGTCACGTGAAAATATTAATTTCACTTTACTTGAGGATATTCTCTTGAGAATATTCCCTCAAGGATACTAGTAACAGAATCCTTAGATACATACAGTGTTACCAGTGGCTGGGCATGGAAGGATGCACCTCCCTGTCAAAAATTATGAGATTTTGTACAAAATTATGCGCTCTGTTGTAACCTTACTGTCATCTGTCACGTCCTGTCAGTTGTCATTGTAAAGGCCGTATGACAGTATGCATTTTCTTGTATCATGTCTTATATCGTTTCTGATATAGGAAGTTATTTATGTTTTTTTGTATCTAAGTCTTGAATATAAAATTTTCTTCGATAAAGTAATTTTTATTTGCTAAAAATAATGCTGTGTCACAGAAGAAATAACAATTGTTGGTTGAGTTTACCGAAAGTACAAGCTGATTATAGCCACAAATGTCAAACATAGAACAAAAACTTTCTCTATAGCAGTGTTGGCATGTTTTTGTAAATGTAGATGCTGTATACTTCAAATATAAAAAGATAAATGATAAAGCTTTAGAAAAGTACATTTTGTTTATATTATGTTATGAATTCTGCAATTTTTTATTTATATAAAACAACAATGAGTAAATATTTGTTTCTTTGGAGATTTATTGCAGTTAATAATTATAAATTTTTTTAGCAATTACCCTTTGATAGGTTAGAGGATAGATATGGCAATCGTCAAATCAGCAGTTGCCAGATTACAAAAAAAATTGCAATTAATCTCAAAAAAGACAAATATCTGCTCGTTATTGCTTCATGTAATTTAAAAATTGCAGAATTCATTAAATGGTATAATCAAAATGTACTTTTTAAAAGCTTTATCTCTTTATATTTGAAGCATACAACATGCATTATAAAAACATGCCAACACTGCCAAACCGAAATATTTTTGACATTTGCGGCTATATTCAGCTTGTAGTTTCGGTAAACTCAACCTAATTGTTTATTATTTTGTGGCTGTGTAAAATGTCAGCACAAACGCTTTCTTTTAAAACAAACAAGAAGACGAGTACTCTTATTATAAACTGGCTTGTAATTGGTTTTTTTTGCTTTGCTGGATTGTGCGAAATTATGTGATTTTATGCAGGATGCGAAAATTATGCGCCGGCAACTAAATTATGCGCAAATCGCATAATTATGCGCCGATTGGCAACACTGGATACATAGTTAGCAAACCCGTGGATTTTGCTGTCACCCAGAGACCAGTGACTGGTTGTGGCTTTTGTGACCAGGATTCGTCTTTACAGCCACAAACTGATGTAGCCGTGCCAAGAGTAGTTTTTCCTATGGACTTATAGTGCTGTAAAGATAAGTCGTTTAACTATTTGACCTTTTGTATTACGTATTACTTTATATTTACTGTTAACTGATCATATGCATATGATAAGGTGAATACCTTTATGATAATTTTTTTTTGATAATTTAATTATAAAATATTCGGGAGGAAAAAGGGACACTTCATGTGTTATTAGGTTTTAACTAGGATTTAGAGAGTCTGACCAAACTCACTTTTTTTTGGATATAATATTTTTGTTAATATAATACAATTTGATATTAAGAGGGACATAAATTTAATGTGGTTTGTTTTTAAATATTATATAATGAGTATGGAACAACTCATTTTTTGGATGTAATATATATATTTAATATAATTGTAATAGAGATTTATCAAGTTTGATATCTTTACAATATTGTCATTAGTACCTCATTTTAGTAGAACTAATTTAAATTTAAATGACTACCTTTTTGTTTTAAGACTTTGGCTACCCTACGGACTATTCTTGTTGTATACTAATATTTCATATTTTATTTGGCCAGTGGTAGTGACTATTCATTTGTTGAGGGGCTATTAGGTCCTATTGTATCTGTACACCATCCACTACCACTGTTATTTGGCTTTGCATTATATGTAAATTGTTTATACACATATACCTATATACATTTGTTTATAAATATATTTATTGTTGCTATTTTGAGTTTTATTTCAGTTCTACTAACCAGTATATAACATAGCAAAACAAGATTAATATTTAGTATTTTTGTATTTCAGAGTATTACCTCCAGATTCATTTGTTACTTCAAAATCTCAACTATCGTTGAGTTGGCGCCCTTCTTTTCTCTTCTTATTGTTCTCTTTCTATAAATTTATTCCCAGTGACCTTCTTCAATTGTATCACGTTTGATATTACCAGGTCTCATTTTTTTCTTGTCTCATTAGCTCATTATCTCTTGTTATTGTTGTTTATATCTTTAAAGCCACAATCCAGTGCATTGAAGCTAGCCCGAACACTCACTTGAGATTTAGTGTCTCTTTGGCCATTTAAATTTGTTCCTCTGAGCTTAGCCCTATTTTTAGTATTTTTTTTTTTCATCACTTCTCTTTCAGTTCTTCTGAACTTTGTCAATTCACACATTTTATTCGTTTCAACCGGTTTATCAGTAATATTAATAATAGTATTTATAAGTAATATTTAGCTTCAATGGAAACTCATTATGAATTATAGTCTGTCCCTCCTTGACTTTACAGTACACGAACATACAGCAATGCAATGCTGTACTGCACTCCCTTATGGGAGTTTTTAGCGCGACGATGTCGATTTTCTTCAAAAGAATTTTTAATTAAACATTAGCAGAGTCCTAAAAATGTAGGGCCCTAAAAATTACCTTAACCCTTTCAGTCACTCTAGCCATAAAAAAAATTTAGGTCGGAAGTAATAGTGTCCCTTCCTAGGGACATAAAATTACGGATAAGGCAATGGAAGCTACTTAATATTTTGAAGGGGAAATCATTTCGTACCGTCTACGGTACACCTTTAGTTACGCAAATAATAGTCGAGTTCGGTTCCATCTCTATTATTTACACCATAGGAATGTTTGACAGTTGGTCGTGCGGCAATGAAAATTAAGGCAGGTTGAGAGGTTACATCAAAGTGCGTTGAAAAACTATCCAAATTATTAAAAACAAGTGTTGAATCTTAATATCTGGTAAGTAATAGATGTAATATTGTTATTGTAATGTTTTCTCCATGTTTCAATGTGGTTTTACGTAGATACATGATCGGTAATTTTGTATGTCCCTCAGCAGGGACAATATTACTTTGTAAATATATGTAGCTGATTGGAAAGAGGTTTTTTGTGAAACAATTCTAATACAGTGGAACCTCGATAAGTCGGATTAATCGGGACCGCGGCCAATACGGGTTATCGAAAATCCGGTTTAGCCGGAGAATATGGTAAAAATTAGCAATAAATATTTTTAATAGGAAAATACACATTATAATATAATTGCAAGAACATGAAATACATATGCACAGTACATCTAAATTACGCACAGTGGTATACACTATTGTTTATTTCTTGGTAAAAAACTCAGTCAAAGTGAAAAAATGTTTGTTTTGTCTGATGAAAATTGGTCCGGGTTAGCCGGATTTCCGGGTTATCGGGGTTCCACTGTATTAGGTCTTTTAAAATTAAAAATGTCTATACGGTCGGATAGTTGAGTAATATAACGTTTTTATTTTAGATTATGTCAAAAAACAAAAAAAGATACCTTACAGAAGAGGAGCTGCTTTACTACTTACATAATGATGATGAGTCCGATATTCCTGATATGTCTGATGAAGAAGATTGTGGTTGGGATGATGACGATCACCAAAATATTCCAGATGAGGACATTTTTGAAAGACTAACTTCACAAGTTGAAGAGGGAGAAAATGAAGATTATTCAGAGCATGAGGAACCTGACAATTTCCAAGAGAAACCTGATGGTGAATTGAAAAAAATCATTCAAAATTTTCAAGAAATGCATACTTTGACTGATAAGAGTAAAATAAGATGGATGAAGGATGTCACTTTTGAAACTAGAAAAGTTAAGTGGTATAAACCACCTGTTATTAATGAGCTTACCGTAGCGGTATGTGCCTGAAGAACTTTGGCAGCAAATGTCAGATATGACTAATTTATATGCTACTCAGAAAAATGTTGCTCGGTTCCACGCAACAAGCGTCCAAGAAATAAAAAAAATTCATTGGAATCCACATTACAACGGGAAATTTACAGTTTCCACGAGCCCGCATGTACTGGAGCACAAAATATGGAATTCCACTAATTAAGGATGCTTTGTCTATAAACAGATTCTTCAAACTTCGACAGACGCTTCATTTGATAGACAGTACAGTCAGGCCAGAAGGCAACCAAGACAGATTTTGGAAAGTGCGCGATTTATATGATTCTACTAAAAAACGATGTCAAGACCTTCCTCTGGAAACCAATTTGTGCGTAGATGAACAAATGGTGCCCTTTAAAGGGCAGATAAACGTTAAGCAGTACATCAAGAACAAACCCACGACATGGGGCATAAAAATTTTTGTACTTGCTGGACAAAGTGGACTCATATACGATTTTCATATATCAAGGGTCGACTACGGAACTAAACCAGTCTACGGAAGTTTTGGTAAAGGAGCTGGGATAATTATGCAGCTATCCGAAAGAATTACTGAAAAAAATCATGGGCTTTATTTTGACAACTATTTCAGTTCATACAATCTTTTTCAATTCCTGACATCGAAATCAATATTTGCCATCGGAACAATTAGAGTAAACCGTTTTTTCCATCCAGCGTTGCCAAGTGATAAGGATCTAAAAAAGATAGGTCGAGGATCTTCTGCTATATCCCTTAGTAAGGATGGTATTATACTTACCAAATGGTATGACAATAAGGCTGTTATTACGGGCTCAAATTTCGTCGGAGTTGGACAAGAGGATCAATGTATCAGATGGAACAAAACTACGAATACTCATATACAAGTCTCAAGATCCGAATCCATAAGATTGTATAATAAAAACATGGGCGGTGTCGATAAATTAGATTTTTTGCTTAGCAACATTCGTTCCAAAAAGTGGACAGTACGAATGATATGCCATGCTATTGATATGGTTTTAGTCAACTCTTGGTTAGAATATAAACAGCAAGCCGAAGCCTTGGGTATGTCAACAAAAAAGATTTTGGATTTGCTTGGGTTACGAGAGAGTGTCGCGGAACATCTCATCTTGTTTTTGTGAGTGATAGTTATTTTCAAAAAGTAATCAGCAATTTTATAATCGATATGCGTAACAACTTTTATTGGTAAAGAATGTTAAAATATCCAACATTAAAAGTGGATGTTGTTCTATGAGTATTCATTTATGTATTGACAGTATAGACAGTTCTGAAGTAATGTCAAGAAAAATATAAAATATATTAACAGACAAGTTTAAGTAAAGTTTTATATTGTCCTACAGTTGAGAATAAATAAATTATATTTGTTGATGGTCAGTTCACCTAAATTAAATTATAACAAAGAATATCAAACAAACTTGAAATTGATTTTAGTTTGTTCATTTGATTCGTTGAAGTTCATATCGACTATAGTTATTATTGTGGTTTTTTGTGTTATAATAATTGAATTTATTAATGGAGAACAGTACTCTGAAACGTCCCCAGGGGAAGGCATTATCATTAGGGGAGAAACAAATCTTGATTTGTTAATCCACCACGTCTCTCAATGTGGTGAATTATCGTGTAAATCAAGGATATGATTCACTTTCAAAAATAATACAAACGGGGACAGTAGGAACATTTCCGAAAAAACAATTTACTCTGTAAGAAATTAAAATTCCTCGGCACTTGGATTACAACCAGCAAAGAGACGATCCAAGAACAAGCATCATTATCGCGTGATAAAACTTACGATGAAGGAACAAAGAGTAGCATTCGTCGAATATAGCATGATTTTTTTCAAGAATACACCCCCAACATTACATTCTCTATTAGCAGTAGTAACTAAAGACGAACATCTACCTAATTTTTCTAGAACTACACTGCATAGACTAATTAAGGACATGCGATTTGTGTACACAAAAGGGAACAGATAGTTAATGTTGATAGAAAAACCCGAAATTATTTCTTGGCGCCATCGATATTTGCGAGAAATTCGTACATTTCGGGAACAAAACTACAACAATGTATATTTGGACGAATCATGGGAAAATATTGGTCATAGTGTCAATTATAAATGACTACAGGCTTGAAACCCTCTACTGCACGTGGTCCACTGTTCGTTTTACTGCATGCAGGAAGTAAAGATGGTTTTAATAATGGAGCCAAACTAACTTGTTTAGCAAAGAAAAATACAACAGACTATTATGACGAAATGGATGGACCTCTTTTCGAAAATTGGTTTAAAACTAAACTTCTTACAAATATTTCCGATAACACTGTAATAGTAATGTCGTATCACTCCATGAAGTTGGAAAGAAATCCGAACAATTATGATAAGAAATAAAGGAGGGGTTGCGTTCAAAAGATATTTATTTCGAAGAATACTATCTAAAATCCGAACTGACGTAGCTCATTTTAAATCGCAGTATGATGAGCGTATCGTAGATGATATTACAAAAAGTAAGAATGTTAAGTTGCAAAGATTACCTCCATATTACTGTGAACTAAATCGGAGAGAGCTGATATGGAGTGAAATAAAAAGATTCGTGGCAAAACATTACACAAACTTTAAGAAGGAATAAGTAGAAAATCTAATACATGAAGCGTACTCCCAAGTTACTCCACAAAAATGAAATAATTACGTGCAACTCGTAATTAGCATAGAACAACAGATATGGAATATCGATAATTTACTGGACAATATCGACCACTTATAGTAAACCGTAATGACGACAGTGGCAATGAAAGTTAGGGAGAGCGCCCACCAAACTGGCGTGGCAAGTAGCAAGTAGCGCTACTTAAAATGTAACCAATGAAAACGAATGATTCAGCGCACACCAAAATGACAGTGACGTCTTTCATTCTAATCATTCATTTCCATTGGTTACATTTTAAGTAACATGCAGACACGTGCTACTTGCTACTTGCCACGCCAGTTTGGTGGGCGCTCTCACTAAGGAAGACAGGAGTATAGAAGAAATGTAAAATACACAGTTTAAATAAATTTTAATTATTTATGTAGGTACCTACGTATTCAATAAGGTTTAACATATTTTTGCGCTTAAATACATTATTATACAAATGCTTTATACAAAATTATTTTTATTTTATTCACATAAGGGTATTTTTCGAAAAAAAAAAAAATGTGTTAGAACCCCTGACAGCCACAAAATGTCAATAACATTAATTCCTAAGTTATTATTCTATAGTTATCCTATATAAAAAAGTATATTTGCTTCAAACCTGTTTCTGATAAAATTTGGCATTACTGTTGATCATAAGAACCTGTACTGTAAAGTCAAGGTGGGACAGACTATAGAAAACTTTTGCAACTCATTAATATTTTAGTAGATAATACAGGAAAAGCTATATTGTAGTAGATAATTAAGTGTACCCAAATAAGAGGCCGATTACCAAAACGATGGATTAACGAACTAAAATGTTGCCTAAGAAACAAGACGCAAATGGCAGCGGATCGAAAAGTACGGAAAATGATTACGGAAATCTATTATTTGTACAATATCGTTTTTAAAATAAAACGTTTCGATTTTATATTACAATGTTTTCGTTTAAATTGTCAATTTAAACAATGATAAAACAAAAAATATATAAAAGAATTACCTGAATTCGTTGATCGGGCATCTTGTATCAATTTAACGACGTCTTGATGAAGAGCATGTGAAACATCATGTCCGTTTATTTGCAATACTTGATCACCTTCTGATAACCTAGGTACACATTTATCAGCTGGCGTATTCGGTGCAACTCTAGATACTAATATAGGCACATTTCGTTCGTTTCCTCCTACAAACATAGAAAAAAATTACTTAGAATACAGTATAGTCCAATATTGACAAAGAGAAAAAGAAAGAAAATACAATATTTTTTGTATAGTTTTTATAGCGAACTGTATCGATCAGAAACTGCCAGGATTTGAACTGCCCCATAATAAATGTATAACGCTAAAATGTTTTATATTACATTGATACATTAGATATTCGTTTGTAATACATACTACATTTAATGTTTTCTACATCTAAGTGTTTTAATGTGTAATTTTCTTATCTGTATTGTTCAACTGTGTATGCCACACGCTAAATAAAATAAATCGTGAAATATTTTAACTATACTGATGCATATTTTCGGTTAGTAGTTGGAACATTCCTATTAATGGCAAAAGTCTTAATTTACAACTAGTAATCGGTGATTAGACGCATTTATATTTGAAATGGAAAGAGTTTCCTTGGGCGATATAAGTTGTACTAAAGTTGTCAGTAATAACCATTTCATCATCATCATTGTTGATGATCCTGAGCAGCTATTTCCCATTGCTGTATTCTCACTTTGCGTAGATCACTGGCTACTGCGTCCTTCCATCTCTTTCTTGGGCGACCAACTGACCTTCTGTCATCGGGCCTTTCCCAGAATGTGGCGTTCAGGAGGCTTTCGTCACTCGATCTTAGCACGTGGCCCGCCCATCTTATTCGATTTGCTTTAATGTAGCGTACTATGTTTTCATCTGCATATACTGTCTGGAGTTCATCATTGTGTCTTCTTCTAAATTCTCCTGTTGTCTCTTCTCTGCAAGGTCCATAGACAGTCCGCAGTATCTTTCTTTTAATACCTGTTCCATTTTTCTGCCACCAATTTTCAACATTTCAACTGTAATCTTATCCTCTCCCGGACATTTATTCGTTTTAAGTTGATTTAGGGCCATTCTTATTTCATAGTCGGTTATGTCCGGTATTTCTTCTGAGCCGGTGTTAATTATTGTTCGTTGAGTACGTCGTTGTTGTGGTTGTGTATTTACCGAGTACAGTTTAGTGTAGAATATTTCAATGGCCTCGCTTACTTCCTTTCTGTCTCTGACGGTGACGTTTTTCTCATTTTTTATTTCTATGATTTTTGTTGTGCCGCTTGAGTTTTTTGCTTTGAGTACTTTCATGTTGCAGTTATCTTGTATTATATTTTTTATTAGATTGTTATTATAGTTTCTATGATCGTTCCTAATTTCTTTCTTCACATTTTTGTTTAAACTTTTAAAGCTGTCCGAAGTTCGATCTGTTCTGTTTCGTCTTTCTTGGAGTAGGTTAATTGTATTAGGTTGGAGTTTAGATGTTTTGGCTGTTTTCGTGTTTGAGCATATTTTCTTAACCGATGTTGTTACAGTTACTTTTATTTTAGTGGCTAGTCCGTTTATATCCATTTGTTTCAGTGTCTCTATTGATTTTAGTCTTGTGCTTAGCTCTTTTTGGTATTCCGTTTGTTTTTGAAACAGAACATCGGTGGTTGGGTATAGTTCTCGTTTAATAAGTTTGCTTCGCTCTACTCTCGTCTGTATTTTAATGTCCGCTCTAACCAATCTATGGTCACTCCCGGTATAGAATTTGTTTTGTACTGTCACGTCGGTGCATATGTTTTTGTTATTGGAGAGTAAAGCGAAGCTTCGAGAGCGAAGAAGAGAAAACTACTAAAAACACTGGATGACACCGGAAATAGTTGAGCTAATAACTGAAAAAAGAAAATACGAAAATAAAGATGGAAATAAATATAAAACCATCAAGAATAAAATCAAATATGAAATCAGAAAGGCTAAGGAGGAATAGATGAAAAAGGAATGCCAGGAACTGGAAGAACTCAGCAACAAACCTGACACCTCAAACTTACATAAAAAATGAAAGAACTTACAGGCAACACCAGACAAAGAAGAACACTCGTAACAAGAGATAATAATGGAGGAATACTTACTTAAGAGATCAAAATAAAGGAAGTATGGGAACAATATATAATCCATCTGTTCAATGACGAGAGGTAAAATGAACAAGATATAGGTGAAGAAGAACAATACCTACAAATTTTACCCTCAGAAGTAAAGCATGCCCTACAGAATGCAAAACAAGGAAAAGCACCGGGACCTGATCAAATTCCAGTTGAACTGTTAAAAGCCTTAGATGAAGGTAATATGAAGAGACTCCCCCGAATTATCAACCACATATATGTAGAGATCAACATCCCGGAGAAATGGCTTAAATCGATATTTTTACCTCTACCAAAAAACAATCCAAAATCATGTAATGACTATAGATTGATAAGCCTAATGTGCCAGCCTTTAAAGATTCTCTTGAAGATTGTTCAAAACCGAATTTATAAGAAATGTGAGGAGCAGATAGATCAAACGCAGTTTGGCTTCAAAGGAGGCATGGGTACAAGAGAGGCATTATTTGCGTTGACGATACTCTTGCAGAAATGTCGGGAATATAACAAGAGCGCATATGTATGCTTCATAGACTTTAGGAAGGCCTTTGACCGAGTTACCGAGTAACATATGAAGTTAATAGATGAATTAAAAAACATCAATTTAGACAATGAGTTTATTAAGGCTAGTAGTAAAGGTGAACGATATAAAAACAAATAATATACCGATTGCGAGAGGGGTCAGGCAAGGATGCGTCTTGTCTCCGACGCTTTTCAACGTGTACTCACCGGTCATATTCAGAAAAGCCTTATGGGAAAGAAAAGAGAGAATAAGAATTGGCGGAGAAATCGTAAACATCATGAGATTTGCAAATGACACGGTAATTATGGCTGAGGATATAAAAGAACTACAAACTTTATTAGATGCAATAAATAGTGAATGCATTCAAATGGGACTTGACATCAACACAGATAAAACCAAATTTATGATAGTATCAACACGTCCAATAAATATCTGGGAGCTTACATCAACACAGAATTAGATCCAGACCAAGAGATCAAGGTACGAATAGAAATGGCAAGGGAAGCGTTCTTAAAATTCAAGCAATTGTTCTGTGACAAAAATCTGAATACTGCACTGAGACTGAGGTTTGTTGAATGGTACGTCTGGTCCCAACTATTGTACGGGGTAGAAACATGGACGTTAAAAGAACAAATAGTTAAGAAGCTTGGAGCCCTTGAACTTTGGATATACCGGAGAATGTTGAGAATTCCCTGGACTGCTAGGGTCATTAATGAGGAAGTGCTGAGAGGGATGGGTCGAGACAAAAAATTGTTGAGAACAATAAAAGTACTCAAGACTGCATACCTTGGACACATACTGAGGAATGATAAATATAGTCTTTTGCAGGTCATCATGCAGGGTAGAGTCGATGGCAAAAAGGGAATAGGTAGAAAGAGGAAGTCATGACTGCGAAATATTCGAGACTGGACAAACACGACTGTAGAAGAATTATTCCACGTTGCAAAAGACAGAGAAACTTTTAGAAATGTGATCGCCAACCTCCGTTAAAAGGGGACAGCATAGGAAGAAGAAGATGCTATTAACTTTCTCAGCACATCGGACCGTTTAAGTCAAAGCTTTCATCCCTAATCCAAAATAGTGGCAAATTCCTGAAATATACTTTAGCGTCTATATAATAATAATAGACTGTCTCTTAATTGTGATGTTGACATCAAAAAGTATCTTCATAAAAGGATCTGCTCTATGTGGTTATCCTATTACTGCTTAATTATTTTTCGAGTGCTAAATAAAATTTTCTACCAACCTTTAACGTTAAATCCGTACTTTCCTTCTTCGTCCGGATGGAGTACAATATTAACTAAATTATCGTCGATGATTTGCGATGTTGGTGAATGACTTAAACTATAAGGTGGCGTGTCGTAGAGTCCGTTCGATGTGGGTGAAGGAGGTTCTTCATCGGCGTAACTGATGACTCTTCCGGCTATACCCGGTGAAAAAGGCCCTTCCAACGTTCTTTCTAGAAATCCGCCGTCGCTAGAAATAGATCCATACTTTTTATCTCTAAGAGAAAAAGAGAAAATGAGCAATTAATATTACCATAGTTACAAATTTCATAAATATATAATTTCAAAATACTGTAGATTCTACACTTTAAAATATTACCATTTAAGCCAAATTGCTTTAATAGAATGTTGATATTAAGAAAAATACAGGGTGTTAAAGTGGAAATTTAAAATTTTAATTTTCGCTATAACTTTCATGTTTGTGAACATTTATGTACAAAAATTCATAACTGGGTACTATTGAACATCAGGAATTATAATTTGATGCATACTTTATTATAGCTGATAGAGGGCGCCACATATGCCACATATGTGGCGCCCTTATTATAATACATAATTCAGATTTAACGCAATTACTCCAGACAACGAAAGAAAATTAGACAAAAACATCAATACTTCTGAATTTTGGTATAAAATGCTTTTAATAAAGTTAATATTTAAAGAAATATTAAATAAAATAAATATATCGGCAGGATAGTTAATAGTAGGATTTGACAAAATAACATAATAATAGGATTTTATATCTAACATTTTACGTTTTGTATAAAAGTCATCAAAATATTTTATTTACAAACCAAATTAAGAAATAGTTAAACTAAATAACATTAAACTTTTTCTTAAATTGTTCGATATGTCCACCATTTTCTTTAATTCATTCATGTTTAAGAGAATGTTACATCTTTTATACCCTACATTAATAAATAAAAAGTTTTTAAATCCCTGGACACCCTGAACATCTGGATTGCTGTTATTATTTTTAATATCATTGAAAAAATTTTTGAATCTTTTGGCTGCAGTAATACTATGTATAACTAATATAGTTTCATGTTACATTGACATTTTGTTTTCGACACCGTTCATAGGTATCTTGTCAATCAGTTACCAGCTGTAGCCCCTTTGAAGAGGTTTACTCTCCGGACACTGGAACTCACTTCAAACATGTTACCTGAAGTCAAATTCAATTTAATATTTAAAATCACATTTTAATAACAACAATATGTACAATCTTTAAAAACTAGATGTAATTAAAAGGGTTTTTACCCTGGTATTTTGGTGGCTCAGGCATTTTAACCTAGTAAGTATAACCATTTTTGCTTTTTAACCCTAGTCAAAATTTAAAAATAACCACGTTTGCTTTAACTAAATGGTTTATACTTATTTTTGGCAATTTTAAACCTATTGATGCACTGTTTAGTCCGAAAACGTTTGTTTTTTTTTATGTAGCCCTTTTAAGGGTTTTTTAAATAAATATACCCATTTACGAAGACTAACCTCTTTTTTTGTGATACGTGGTATACAGCCAGCTACAGGAATTGTTTTCCTTGTGGATTACATAATGAATAGCAAACGAATGAGATGCAGATTATACTGTAATTATAGCCGAAAGCCATTACGATCTACAGAGAAGATTCTATAAATTCCATCAGATAAGCAGCGAACTCAACATAAATATATAAATAGTGAAGAGCAAAATCCATGACCATATCTAGAGGGCAAATAAGATGCAAACACATGGTTAACAACAAAACTGTAGAACATATAACACGGTTAAAATTCAGTTCTCGGGATTGAACTCTCTAGTGGTCATGATTCCACAAAAAATCAATATCAAGAAAGCTGCCACTGCGTCAGAATGTCTATATAGTTCAGTTTACCAGACCTATTAGAGGCCCAAGGCTGTGTCAGGATATTTAAGGAACTTGGAATAACAGATACATGAGAGCTGACAGTAAAATTTGAATATGTAAGATCTGAATTAGACCTATTCTGACATGGAATAGAAACCATAAAAGAAAGACACTAATAAAACTAAATGTATACTTTGAAGAATCTACGTGATCATGGTATCAATGCAGATCGATTGATTTGTTTAGAGTAGCAAGTTAAAAAAAATGAAAAGGGTGGTAGGGTGGTGGCAAAAGGATACTTAGAATAGCGGATTTGAATGTATAACGAAGCATAGTAGTCAAAACTGAAAGAAAGCACATAAGAAACACTAGACAATGTAGTTTGCAAGATGTAATCTTGCTATGGAGTAGACAAATGTTATAGAATCACCAGGGAATAATGAAAGGAGACAGGCTGCTGAGAATTGCGCTAGAGAGAACGCATACTAAGAAAGGCCACCGAAGAGATCGAGGGATGTTTGGTAGAAAAATGTTAAATAAGCAGGAGAAGAACTCAATTTTTTCTATGCCGCACAGCCAGACAGATATGTTGTGATGTCATTAATTCTACATAATCGATTTTAACTTGAAATTAAAGATTAGTGCACACTAATTTATGAAAATGTAATTTACTTACTCATCAGATATTCGACTGTCTTCAGTCCATGCTTTCTTAGGTTCTTTGGTATCCAAAGACGTAACTTTGTGAGCGTAAGGTCCCGGTGGTCGAGCAGGAGCAGTTACTATCTTTCCTCTATCTTCCAACGGAGGAGTTTGCACTGGTTGGATACCCTAAAATGACAGCAAACTTTGAAACCTGCGCTATAAAACAACTAGTATACCCGATTTTATACTACACTTTTCAAAAATGTATTTAAATGTATATAACTAACTTCTTCTTCTTTTTATGCAGACATGACTCTGTTTTTCAATTTTTTTCTAGCAAGTTGTCGTTCTATCTTTTTCGTGATCTTCCTACTGGGGAAACGTCTCTTACTACTCTATTTGTTGTCATTCGGCTTATATGGTCGTACCATTCTACTCTTCTATTTCTTGCCCACTGCTTGATGTTCTCTACCTTACATATACATCGTATATATGTAGTTCTTGCCCTGTCCCATAGTATTTTACCCTAAATTTTTCTAAGTGTTTTCATCTCTGCTGTTTCTAACATCCGTTTTGTCCTCTCTGTGCCAGGTTGTGCTACTACCGCGCATGTCATTATTGGTCTGATGACTGTTTTGTAAATTCTGCCTTTCATTTCTTTTCCGATACAGTAGACTCGCGATAATCCGAGCTTAGGTTATCCGATCCCCTTGGTTAACCGAGGCAAAAGTCGTAGCTGGTGAGTCACACTTGCGAATAGTTATGCGCTTCTAGTTCTAGCCGGAATTTTCATCTACCAAGTTGGTCATCTCCTTATTTCTAGAAATTTCTGTCTCTATCTCGCGTTTGTCTACAGTTATTCTTCCTATGTTAATCAGTGTAAGTGTGACAAGGGTGAATCAATAAAGAAGGTTGCTTCAAATTTAGGTATTGGAGAAGTAACTGTTGGAGTTTGGAAACGTAAACGGAATGGAATCGAACAGTGGATCAACCGAAGTGTGAGTGGATTGATACGGAAGATCATGAACAAATTTCTGAGGCGTTGTTCTTGTGGTTTTCACAAATGAGAGGATTGGGCAGCCCGATAAGTGGTCCAATAGTCCAAACAAAAGCTATTGAATTCCACACAAGAAGTTTATGGATGGAGAAGAAAACATTTGAGCTAGTGAGAGATGGATTGACACACGGAAGAAGAAATATGGTATCTGACAATTGAATCTTTGCAAAGAGAGAGTCACATGCTTCTGATTCATTAAAATTAATATCTCTTTTAATAAAAAAATCCAAAAATCCAATGACATTCAAAAATATTCAAGTGAATTGCTTACCCACAACCTATAAAAACCATGAATTAATTAGCGGCGACATAAGAGCTGTGTTTCTTTCACCCAATATGACGTCTTTCATCCAATTCCTAGACCAAGACGTTATAGAAGCAATGCATATGAATGATCGGCGGAGGCTTCTTTAGGTACTGCTAAACAGGCTGCATGAAGGGCAGACTTTAATTAACGCATTTAAGGAGATCACGGTTATTAAAGATGTTTTCTATTGGATTGCATCTGCATTGAACGACGTAAAAGTGTCTAATATTAAAAAATTATAAGAAAATTATTTTGGAGATGAAGATATGAAACCGACAGTTGACGCAATTGCCGATCTAGTTCTAAACATCGACCATGAAGAAGAGGATACATATAAGATAACTCAAAAGATTTCTCATTCCGATAGGTTTAAGGCCCCTGAAGCACCTCTCGCATAGAACGAGCAGCAAGAGGAATCAACGCCAATAGATGTACTTCATTTTAAACGTTGGCGCAACATCGCTGCTTTAAAAAGAAGAATGAAGCAACGACTTTTTTAAACAGTGATATTAATAAGAAATATGTTTTATCTTCATTAAAATAACCACAGTTATTGTTATTTACGTATTTTTCTATTGGTACAACCACTCTTTCCGTATCCGAGGTAGTGACGGTCCCAATTACCTCGGATAATCGCGAGTCTACTATATTTGTATTTCTCCATATTGTTTCATTCATACAACTTGCGGCTCTGTTTGCTCTATTCACTTGATCTTCCCTTCTGTTTCTAGCCTTCCGTAGCTAGATAAGGTGATGCATATATATTAAAAATACACACTTATTCTATTATCTGACTTCCAGCTCCAATTTACACCTTAGTTTTGCTGTTTTAACCATGCATTTTGCCTTTTTTTGGGGAAATTAACATGTTAACTTTTCTGGCGGTTATATTAAATTGATGCAGCATACGTTGTAAATCAACTTCACTTTGAGAGACTAGTATTTCGTCGTCTGCATAGCAGATTATTTTAAGTTCATTTTCTGCCATTTGGTATCCTGTTTTAGTTCTTACTTTTTTATTATTTCATACATAATAAGGTTGAACAATTCTCTCTGTCTTGCCCATTGCCAGCTTTAATGGGATCAGTTCGTTCTTCTTCTACTTTGACTTTTATTGTGTTGTTTTGATAGATATTTTAGATCATTTTGATTATTCCTAGAGGTATCTCTCTTGCGTACAATAAGTGGGAGAACGTCCTTTAATTTAATCCGGTCAAATGCTTTCTTAGTCCACGAAACATAGCTACACCGGTTTGTTGTATTCTAATGATTTCTATTGCACTTCCCTCATTATAAATATAGCATTGGTGCTTGATCTTCCCGACCTAAAACCTTGTTGTTCTTCTGCTATAGTATATTTGAAAAATAAGCTGGAGTAAAATTTTATTTTTGAGTTTTTTTCAGTTTTCCTCGGAATATTATCGTTTTCTAATATTTCATTCCCAGCGATTTTGTCTGATAGTCTTTTTCTATATAAGTATGCCGTGGATTCTGTATTTAGTTCTTCGACTTTGATTTTTATTTGTATTGGCGCCGCTCTCTTCGGTGTCAAGTATTTCAGGATGATTCTTATTTTACATAATACTAGACTATGGTCGCTGAGTTGAGGCATCTTACGTCTATTATTTTCCATGGATGTATATCTCTGTTGGTTATAACATATTCTATCATATACTTTTGTCCACGGGTATTTTTAAATGTATATTTGTGTTGGACTTTGTTTATCATTAGTTCTCTATTTTCGTTTTTGACATTCTCGTTAAAATCAAGAGCGTTAAAATCCCCCAATACTCTGACTTGATCTACTACTTGTTGTAATTGGTCATAAAACGCTTCCCTTGTTGTTTGAGGCTTGTTATTTTCTTACTCCGATGATGTTCAGGTTTTCCTTCTCCATTCTTATCTTTGCTGTTACAATCATTTCTAATATGTATTGACACTCTTTGATGTGATTTTGGTACCTTTGGTGTATTAATAAGGCTACACCTTATTTGGTCCTGTTTTCTTTTGCTACTCCACTGTAAATTGGTTCGTATTCACCGAATCTTTATTGTCCTTTTCATTTTTTTTGGTTCCTGTAGAGCGTAAATATCTATTTGTTTCTCTTTGATCACTTGGGTTATTTCGTGGTCTCTCGAGTTGAACGATCTGATTCCATGTAGTAATTCTCATCTGGGTTTTGGATATTTTTGGCTTGCCCTTATTTCTTACTATGGTCGTCTTCATAGTATCAATCCGGTTCCGAGGATGGACATTGTTTCTTTGAGCAGTATTCGTTTTTATGCTTGGGACCGGCTGTGGTAACCGCAGAGCTGCTCAATACACCCTGCAATTACCGTAGGCTGTTTAAGGATAACTAGCAGAAGAAATCCTCAAGAAGTATAATCGTAAAATGGAATAAAAATATACAAGACATATCACAGTTCATGATAATCTCAGAACTAAAAATGTTGGGCGGGGAACGAATGAACAAAAATAAAAAAATGCTATTGAATAACAACCTGCTATATTGAATTGAATACCAACCGCCATATCTAATACGTTGCTAATTCCAAAATATCTCCAGTATCATTTTAAATTCTTAAGCCTCATCCTCCTAGATTACTTCATATTCTTTCTTGGAAAGACCCCCATGTACATTAAAATCACCTATTATAACTCCGCTCTTTGATTAAATATCTCTCACTATGTCCCCTAATGGATCATTCTATCTATCTATCTATATATGCATATATATATATATATATATATATATATATATATATATATATATATATGCTTTAGTACGTAGTAGATAAGATAACTTACCTGAACAGTACATAAGAAATCGAAGGGAAGGGAATTTGAAAGTGTTCGTCGAGAACATGGTCTTACGATAAACAATAAAAATAAAAGTACAGTTATTATTGTAGATCTGAATCCTGTCTACATGACAGACATGGTTTTAGTAACGTTAATTAAAAAATAATAATTTGAAGAATAATAAAATTATAACTTAAAATAACAAATTTTACGAAAAATTATTATAAAGGAGACTATTTTTATTGTGTTTAAGAACCGATAAGATAACTGTATTTCAATTATATCGTAAAAATAGTAATTTACGTCAAGTGATTGATACATTTATTTATCTAATTGGAAGTAGGTATTCACTTGGAAGTAGGTATTCACTTGGAAGTAAGTATTCATTGGAAGTAGGTATTCATATTGGAAATGAAAAGTAAATGTAAGAGCGTATTCGCAAAATTTCGGGCCAATGCTTTTTAACTGCATTCCTTTTTTTCGAATCCTGAGAAAACGAATAAGTATTTTTGAAAAATTTATTTTAGTAAGTTACAGGAGTGAAAAATAGGAGAAAATTAACTGTGATATTTAATTCCAAATATCTCGTTCAAAAGTAACTTTTTATTTATTCTAAGTGACTTTCGGCCCTCGATAATAATGTAATCATTCATTCTGGGTTTAAATTGTTTTAAAATATTTATTAGTTTTCTCAGGATTCGAAAAAATTAATGCATTGAAATAGCATTGGTCCGAAATTTTGCGCCTCTTAAAATATATATTGTGTTCCAAAATTTACACAAGATTTTACTTAAATATAAAACACTGTTTCTTCTTCTTTAGATTGTAATTTTATTATTGAATCATAGTAGTACAAAGGATAGGGTTATGTATGGAATAGCACTCCAGGAAAATGGCCTTCACGGCTTTGCTGGCATATACCCACTCTTTTGTCGAAATTTTTTATCACCATTTTGCGTAAATATGGCTGAATTTCGTTGATGCACCTTTGCATTTCCTCCTTCAATGCAAATGTGGTTGTAGGCTTGTTGGTATTGACCTTTGACTTCAAATAACCCCATAAAAAATCCAATGGTGCTAAATCACACGATCTAAGGGGCCAATTCTGATCAGCGAAACGAGAGAGTACAGGACAAGGAAATGTCTAATACAGTAATTGAATTGTTTCACGGACTGTATAGTATATGGCACCGTCTTGTTGAAACCACTGTCGTCTACAAACGGTCACTGCTTTACCAGGCTCATTTTCAAAGAAAAATGATGCCTCAAACCCATAATAGACACCAAACAGTAATACGTTGTGGATGCATTTTTTCCACAGTTGAATTGTGGTTTCTCAGAATCTCAAATGCGGCAATTTTGACAATTAACAAAGCCATCAAGGTGAAAATGTGCTTCATCGCTTAGGATGACTTTGTCCGAAAAATCAACATCCACGTGTTTTATGTTCATTGATCCACTCAACAAACTCTTTCGCTGTACATGGTCATATTTCAGTTCTTGTGTTGATTGAATTTTGAAAGCATAGAGATGCAGATCTTCGATGAGTATACGCCGTAGAGAGCTTCTTGAAATTTGTAGTTCTTGTCCACGACGCCTGATTGAAGTTTCTGAACTCTCACCAACACTTTCACGCACTGCTTCGATATTGACATTTCAGTGACTTGTTTTTGGACGACCAGTTTGTTTAGCATCACCAATTCAATTTGCGTGAATTTTGGGCCATTCATTATTACAAAATTATTGGTGAACATTTTAATGAAACAAATAAGTAAAAAACTTGAAGTAACCAAATCTACATTCAGCATTAAATCTTTTAAGTTTGTTCTTAATGAAGCCACCCTAGCCATTGCGCAGAGAATATCTAGCAAGCAAATATTTCCTAAACCAACATTATCGTGGCACTTATAATGCAAAAATAATTAATGAATTAAATACAGCTGATTTAACATCTACATACTTCGTTAAAAAAAACTCACCACCACTTGCAAGAGCCATTATAACTTGCAACGAATTGAAGTTAATAAATTCCCCTTGTAATCTTATCTGGGAATCGTTGGATATACCACATCTAACAAGTGTTCTAGCTACAAATATTATTATCCCAAAATACCAAAACGAATTTTCCTACACTACTGTTAAAGAAATCTTAAGTGGCTATTCAGATCATATTGTGATCTATACAGACGGGTCAAAATCACCAACATGTACAACCAGTGCTTACTTTGTACCAAAAATGAAGATTAAAAATCATTTATTTTAAATAATCAATCCAGCATTTTTTCTGCTGAAGCGTGTACTATATACAAAGCCCTTGAATTGTGCTGTGAAAACCAGTGGAACAAAATTGTCATATGCAGTGATTCACTGTCAGTATTGCACTCCTTACAAAACTTTAAATTCACAATCAATAGCAATATATTTATATTAGAAATTTTTCAACAGTTACTAAAACTATCAGATCCATGTGGTACTAAATTTCTATGGGTCAAGGGACACTCAGATATTGTTGGCAATACTATTGCTGATTCTATAGCTAAAAATCCATTACAGCACCCACATATGATGATGTAAGAAATTAACACATGTGACCTACTTGCCCATATCAAACAACATATTAAATTTAAATGGGACAGACAATGGATTCAGTTTGGTGAAAGCAGGGGCACTAATTTATATAAATTACAACCCACAGTAGATGTAAAACAATTTTACAAAGATGTTACACTAAGCATGTAGCATTTTAAATTTGATTGATTCTTTGAAGTATATTTAAAGTCGCCTCGTATATGAAATCGTCTTAATAAAACGAAGAATGTTTTCTGTTTTTTAGTTCGTATCTTTCGAAAAGTGTTTTCAATCATTCTAACGTCGTAGAGTAATAAATCCATTTAATTGTTGTTTATTTTACTGCGGCGATTTCTTTTCATGTAAATGCGTTTCAAAGGATATCTACGTCGTTCGTTGGTTTTGCTATTTCAGCAGTTCGTTGATTTTCAAGTTAAGCGAACAAATTTATAATTTCGTCACTATCGGTGGAGCCGCTGTCAAGGGCAGTTGGTTTCGTTTGTTTAGTCCGAATTTTCATCAAATTCGTAATGTTTTTTTTTGTTATTAGTTTTTTTCATCAGAAGTATTGAAGTTTGGTAGCATGTGTAGTTACAATTTGAGGTTGGTTTATGATATTGACGGAAAAGTGCTTGGGTGGTATTCTTCAAGGAACCGGCAAATTTATATGTGGAGAAGTGAATATTATACTCAAATGTAATGTGTCAGTTTTTGTCTGAGTTAATCACCGATTTGGGTCGTGCTGTGTTTTGAAGAGCTTTGTGTTTTGAGAAGTTTTGAAAAGCCAAGCTTTGAAGATTGCAGTTTAATTAACCCGAAGTCCGATGGTCCAGTGCCCAGCTTTCATCGTATATTTGTTGTCCCTGGTCATTCCAGACCATTTTGCAGCTTGTGAGAAGCATTTGTTTGTTTTGCAGTGTTTTTGAGTAAAGTTCCAGCCCCAAAACTTTTAAAGGAGATATAATATTCAGTGATATCAGGTACTCTTTTTTTTCGTAAACATTTTTTAAAGTAAAAATAGACAGTTTTCATCGATAATTGCTTTCATGACAGGTTACAAAAATTGTAATAAATAAAATTATAAATATTAGGGATTGGTTAACTGTCATATTAATTATTCTTATAGTTTTAAAAATTCAATCTTGACATATGACAGTTAGCATTATTGTCTTCGGATATTTGGTACATACATAACCATAAACTTTGAATTTGTTTTGTTTTTAAAAAGGTTAACCTCAGTAAGTAAGCTCCATTTAAAAATATGATAATAAATATTTAAATAGTTACCGCTACAAAATGTCGCGCAAATAGGGTCCCCAACGCCCAGAGTTGTAAACCGAAAGCGCCATTGTAAGTCGTTTTTTTTTTTTTTGTATTTTGTTAGTATTATTTGTATTTGTAACTGTTTGTGGTACACATAATTAAAGGTTAAATTTTATTTTCTTAACTTTTTATTTATTTTTTTAAGCTAACCCTTTTTGAGTTTATTTGAAAAAGATATGTTTTGATTTTATTTTCTAATTATTTCCCTAGTTACAACTAGTGGTTGTAATAGGCATAATTAGGCACCTCAAGTGGCGCCCTATATTAAATTCCTTGAGGTGTTTCTTGTTTAATTTTTATTTTGTTTATCCCAAGAGCCCTTTATTTCATTTTTTTGTAGTTGCCCCATTCCAATGCCCTTATCTTTTACTTATCCACGACCCCAGCTCTCCTACGAAACCCTGAGTGTCCGTTCGCATCAGTAGCGATTATTTTGCTTGCCCTATCTCCACCCCCAATAGTTTCTTCCCCCAATTTTCTACCTTATATTAATGCCCCTGTGGTAGGCAAAATACTATCGTTACAAGCAGAAACACAGTGTCAACCGTCTTAAGATTAAAAGTAGATCATGGATGTTTTCCGAAACATCTACACAAAATAGGAGTTCTCCCAACTGAGCGATGTGAGTGTGGAACCAGTATAGCTGATTTAAATCACATATTCTTCAACTGCCCACTACATCGTAATACAAGCACGTGGCTGATAAAAGAATTGATAAAAGAGGGGTTAAGTACACCATTAAACGTAAATCTTCTATTAAGTGAAGACAATATAAAAATCTTTAAAATAGTTATGATATTTCTTGTAAAAATTAAATTAAAGGTATGAGTGTAAAATTGATCGTATGCTTGAACATTTCCTTTGTATGTTTACCATATTTGTTGCCCACCTACCTAACCGTGGTTTATGTCTTGTTTGTTACAATAAAGCCGCTCTGATGAATCCCTGAGAGTGAAAAGTGTCCTCCTTGTACAATCCTGTATGAATGAAAACTAATATTTATATGTAATTACCTGGCTAAAGGTTTCAAGCAAAAGCCAATATAAAAATAAAAGTTTGTTCTTGTCCTATTGTGTAGTCTTCATACCATATTTTTAATTGAATTTTAAATATGTTTTGTTGTTTTTTTTGCTATATAATCCTTTACAAATGCAAGACATTCCAGTATATAAGTACTGATTCCCGATATTCCCAGTATATAAAATTATTATAGCCATTAATTATTTATTGTATAACATTAATTGCAGCTTTTTATTCTTTTCAAAACCAACTATTTATTGGTATTCACATATAGTTATGTATAATCTTTTTTTCCATTTTGCCTAGTTATACTGTGTAGGTTCTTTTTACTTAAAATGAGAATACAGCTGCAGTCTAGATAGCTCAGAGAGGATTGTATCTGCCTTTGGAGTCGAATGATGTGAGTTCGATTTCCACTACAAAAATTTAAAAAATTGCTTATGTCGCCTTTTCCAAGACCCGAAGAAAATCATAAAGTCATAATTTGTCTAGTACAACTACTCTATGTATATATATATATATATATATATATATATATATATATATATATATATATATATATATATGTTTTAATTTAATGACGCATGTCACAGCTACCTGCAGGGCAGTATCTACAGTCGAAATTGGGGCTAGCACATTAAGAAAGGCTACTAATATTATATAAAAACAAAAATGTTACTTACTAGGTATTTACTGGGCGATCTAACGAACTTTCTCTCCAATATGCCTCTTTGTCGTACTTCTGTAACAGTTTGGTACTCGGTTCTTCCAGAATAAGTAAATTTGGAGCCAAGTGACAATGGAAATTTTCGTCTTACTCTTGGCGAATGTAAACGGAAGAACGTGTGGTGTTCGACGCACGATTTCCAAAGCGTTTTCGATGAACGATATGTTTCCATATTGAAACCTAATAAAGTATCGTATGATTCGGACTAAAATTAATACATATCATTAATTTTTATTCTGCCAGGACACAAAATACTACTTTTTTTTGTCATCTAGAAAAATCGTAATTAGAGTAGGATGTGGTTTTTAGCATTAAACTACGCTGTCATTATTACTGTTAATACTAAGATTTTAAACATATATTCAAAATTTCTCAGACTACTCTAAATAAGGTTTTTGACGACTCTATATGTATTACTAATACTTTAAACCTGTTTATTGAAAAAAAGGAATAAATCAAGGAGAATAAGTTCTCAGAGTGTATAGCAAATATCTTTTTGTCGATACCAATTCGCAATGTATTATTTCTCTCAGATGAACTTTTGATGGCATGGTTTTATATTAATATTGAAATTTATAAAATCTGCTCTTTTCTGGTCCCTTTTCTGATGGATTCTCAGTGATTAAAGTAGTTTTTCCAGTCTTATCTACTCCTTAGATGTACAAATAAAAGATATAACTATTTACCAAAACACTAGTGCCACCACAAGGTCGCAATGTAATCGATTTCTATGTGAAAACTAAAGGTAGCTCAAAATGTATTTTAATATAGTTGAAATATTTACTTTGGATTTTTATCAGTATCATGATCAGGTCCAGATCATAAGCGTATAACCAATATAAAATGATTCTTTTTTCTGTGGCAAAAAGATTCTTTGTCTAATGCCATCTCTCTCTCTCTCTCTCTCTCTCTCTCTCTCTCTCACACACACACACACACACACACACACACACACACACACACACACACACACACACACACACAAAATGATTCTTCTTAGGATACCTGTCCGTTCCGAACGTTGATGATCATTCTGGCTATGATGACTTTGTTGGTTGCTATACGGAATAGCTGTGTTATCCTGGGGTCCTTTTTCCTTCAATTTTACCTTGCAAAATGCATTGGAGTAGCTCGTATCTGCCTTGATTTCTCATTATATGTCCCAAGTACTGCAGCTTACGACTCTTCACGATGTTGATCAAATCCGCGGTTGTGTTCATCCTCCGTAGTACTTCTTCATTTTTGACTTGGTCTGTCCATGGTATCTTCAGGATCCTTCTGTATAATCATAGCTCAAAAGCCTGAAGTTTTGATACAATTTCCGCCTTCAATGTCCACGTTTCTACTCCGTATAGAAGCAGTTAGTATACGTAACATTTAAGGAGCCTTATTTTTGTTTCTAGGATGAGGTCATGAGCTCACTGAGCTCATAGTCAAGAATGCACTTTTTGCCTTTCCGATGCGATATTTAATCTTTTGGGTATTGTCCCACGACTCATTGATTATAGTTCCCAAGTAGTTGTACTGTGACACATGTTCAATTTTTATTTGGTTCACATACAGATTTGCTCCAGTTCTGTTTTCCTTGCTGATGAGCATTAGCTTGGTTTTGCTGGTTTTTATATCCAGTCCATATGTTCTACTTGTTTCCGTTATTTTGTGCATTAAGTTTTGGAACCCTTCTATGGTATTGGAAAACACTATTTTATCATTTGCATACTGCAGATTATTGAGCTTGACTCCATTTATTGAGATACCTTCATCAATATCTTTTAGAGTCTCTTCAAAAATGTACCCCGAGTACAGATTAAATATCAGTGGTGAAATTATGCATCCCTGGGTTAATACAGGTCCAATACAGGTTAGCTTTTATTTTTAGGTCCCATAAGGCAATCTCTGTGCTCTTTAGTACTTCCATCATTTGTTTATGCCTGACTCTATCGAAAGCCTTCTTGTATTCAATCAGGCATGCAAAAACATTACAGCTGACATCTCTACATTTGTGAAACAATACCTGCACGCTAAATAAAGCTTCCCTCGTACACTTCCCGTCATATAAAACTGGTACACTTTTTTTTCCCAATGTAAACCTGTGTTCACAAATCAATTCGTTGTTGCCAATACAGATAACGGAATTGCACTAAATCTAAATAAAAAAATAACGTTAAAAAATGTATAAAATTTTTAGATAGGTATTATTTTTATCATTAACATCAAAAAACCGTATCTAAGAAATTAAATAAGCAAGGACAGGGTTGAGTTATTGTCCAAAATGTTTGCAGGATCTTTAAACCTGTAGTATTGGCACAGGGCACAGGGAACATTAAAATGTAATTTTATACTTCAATTACCTACCGAACACGAACTGTATTTTGTGTCAATAAGTTTAGTAACAAACTACCAAGATTAAATTATTATTTATTACAGGAACAATAAATGTAAAAAAATAACATTTTACTTTATCCTACGTATTATAAACTATAAACTATCCGTGGCGAAAAAACGCTTTTCAAAACGTGACAGTTTCAATCCAATATCTCACTGTAATATTTTATTATAATAATTTGAAGTTTGTCTAGGTTGATTATCTGTCATTATTTTTGAATTGAAATATTTTCATAAATTGTTATAAAATACAAATCAATGATAATTACATAATAATTACAAATCAATGGTAATTAATTGAGATGATGGAAAATTACAAAATTAATATGAGAATTTTTTAGGATGCATGTTTAAACAAATTTAATGTGACTGACTGATCGAGAATGCTCGACAATGTTTTAGTTTTTAGTATTATCACAACTGGCGGTCTGTCACACAGTCCTGCTTTTAGCTGGTTTTATATAATATTTTCGTTGAACTGGCAATGGTGCCCTAGAAATTAGAATGACACATCTGACAAGATCAACTTACACAACTTAAAAAACACGATTTTTGATTATAAGAATTGTACCAGTTTTTTATGACGGGAACGGTACCAACGGTGTTCACAAATCCAAACTGATTGGGCGCAATTTGTTCCTCGCATTTCCGGTAATTTCTTTTGTGGATGACTTTTAAAAACAGCTTCAGCAGATGGCTCATTAGGCTAATGGTCCTATAATCTTCTCAAACTTTTGCTCCTGGTTTTTTGGGCAATTTTACGAACTCCGATTTGAGCCACTCTACTGGTATTTTTTCTGCCTTGTATATTTCATTAACTATTTCAGTTATCTGTTATCTAATAGTGCAGCAGTTCTGCAAGAATTTTATCAAGTCCCTGTGCCTTTCCATCCTTCATTTGTCTGACGGCTGCCGTTATTTCTTCTGATAGGATATCTCGACCTGAATTTTCTTCAATGGTGGGTTCTTGCATTGTTCTAAGGTCGTGGAAAAGTTTCTCCAAGTATTCTTGCCATACTTTATTTTATCTTCTTTGGTTATGGCAAGACTAATGAGTACAATGGTCTGAAGATTGCAAAAGCTTGACAATTTTTTGCAGAACTTTGACAGGTGTGTGGGTTTTGACAGAAAGGCGCTTTGCTATGTCTTCTTTTTGATATAGCTCTGGAGAAGATAGTAAGAGATACCAAATTATACAATAGAGAAACTATGACTTATGACTTATATGCTTATGATCTGGACTTTATGTTTGCACCGACCGAAAAGAAGCGTTTCCTTTCTGTGCAATTGCTGTGGAAATTATGGACCTCTTAACAAGCAGTTAGGAAATCAAAGTGATAATGTCGATTCCGAATAGCACCATCCTTTGCGCGGTCGACCAATACTTTATCGTTTCGTGATTTATCTCTTGTGTTTTGACCACTTTCGGTCTGCTGAATTCTACTTATATGATTATTCCATTCTTTTTTCTGCTCAGTATCTATTCGTTTAGGAGGATAACTAGGTTCTTGTTACGTCATTGGTTAACATGGTTTTTAAACATTTTCATACCGATTTAAAGATTATCATAAATGGGTTAATTTATAGATAATAAAAAAGTGTGCTCGGTACGTTTTAATATCTCACGGTTAAGTCACGTCCATCCTCCAATGAATGAAAGATATTTGGCAATTAATCCAAACTTGCTAGTTTACCGTTAAAGTTAAATCTTTATGAGTTTCTCGGTACTAAACAACTTACCGGCTCTCGTCGCAGTTGAATGAAAAACTGTTTCCTCTTAAATGAAATCTTCATAATCTTTGACCAAGAGAAAACGTTGATGCGAACATTATTTTGAAAAACTACTAATCCTAAATGCGTAACTCCTAACTGTATTTCTTTATTGGCATTGTCCCTGGCTTTATGTAATTCTACTCCGTACATTTCGATTCGTTTCGCGTGGTCCAAAAAGTTAAATTCGGCATCGGCGGGAAGCTGGCCCCTGAAATATCAAAATTAATTATGTAATTATTAAATTACAAAACGTTACACGTTAAAATGTCATACTAGTCACGTCCAAGATGTACACATAAGATATTATAATATTTGCAGTGATTATTTGAAAGATCTAACTCAAAGTGCGAAATAGTTGTCGAGGACATAAGTTAAAATTCAAAAATTTCTCAAAAATTAAAAAAAAAATAATTTTTAAATGAATAACGTAGTTTGTAGCTTGAAGGAATCAACACGAACCGTCGGTTGCGAAGTTATATGCGAAGGTTTAAAAATAACATCTAGTATGCATGTTTGGAGATTTAACTCATTACTGGTGATGAGGGGTCGTGGAGATACCACCTGATTTTTAAATAACATACGTCCTAGCTTATTACGCGTAGCCAGTCGACCGCTTCAGTACCTTTCCTGAAAAAATATAATAGCTTCCATTTTGAAAATAGACTTCAGAAAATAGTTCAGTCCAATAGTGTTTTAGATAAAAGGGTAAGGGACTCAAAATGTCCGCGATAATTGGATCTCTCCCTTCAATTCTGAGCCCCTGGAGGGAGTGTAGTGGTCATCGTGATATCGTGTATTGTCCGTCTCTCTGGTTATTTGTTTTAACTCGTGTATAATTTTTTTGTATATTCCTGTAATTTGATCGATCCATCTTGTTGGTGATCTTCCTCGTGATCTTTCGCCTTCTACGTTTACTTGGATAATAAGTCTTTCTATGTTTTCTGTGTCTGCTCTCATGACATGTCCAAAGTATTTTAATCGCTGGAAATGAACTTTGCTGAATAACCCTTCGCTGACTTTTAACTCAATTACAATTGAAATATTTGTCGTGTGGTCGGTACACGGAATTAGTAACATTCTTCTCCAACACAACATTTCAGTGGCGTCTATCTTCCTTCTTTCCGCTTGTTGTAAGGTCAGAGATTCACATCCGTAGGTATGTAAGTATTGAGAATATTAAGCATTTTTAGAGTTCCTTCCATATTTCCAATATAACTGAATATCAGATATAGACAGTGAAAGTGTCAGGCACCTGGGAAATGTGATTTTAGATATTGATTGGAATGTATTCAACAATGATTTTCAGTAAGAACTTAATAGATCGTCCCAGTCTAAGGGCAATGTCCAGAGACGTTGTAAAAAGCGTTTAGAGTGTACTATAAAAGATAAGAGTTTTCCTAAGGGGTCATACATCCGTGAAACATATGCCAACACTTTTCTTTTTATTCGGCGAGGCTCCTCTTCACAAATAGGCGACTTAAAAGAGAAATTGTTTTGATCAAATGACCAGTTAATACCTACGACCTTAGTGGAACCATTAACTGTGTCAAGATAGACTTTTAAAGTGGAAACCATAGTATCTTCATTTGAAAAGGCATGCGAATTTGAATATATTTTATAGACTTAGAAACTATGACTACAGTCCGTCCCAAACCCTTCTTTCAGTGCGTCATAGTTGTTCGAATTCTCTCTAACGCATTAAGCTAGAAGTGACAGAAAAAAACGTGAGTCCCCGATTATTATACATAGAACTTAGAAAAATAGGTATCGGTCACGGGTACTCGCATATTAAAGCGAATTCTACTTACGAACGTATAATTGGTTGGAGTTTAAAATACGCTAAATATATATCCAATCAATTATGCATATAAATATAATTTGACACAGATGATCTTGATAATGACAGTGACAGTACTTTCACAATGTCAACTGATAAAATGATAATTGCCGTTCCAGGTTAGTATTTTCAGACATTTTACCTACAGTGAAAATTAAATTTTGTATTTATTGTCATAAAAATATTTTAAATATTCCGAGATATACTGAGAATGAACAAAGACTAATATTAAAATTATTAAATTAGTTTCAATTAGAAAAAGAGGCTGAGTTATCTTTATTATCAGTTTCTGTCGTTCGCGAATCAGATTGTGAATTCCGGAATGATATTGAGAAAATATCTTAAACTAATACCGTTATGGATATTTATATGTATTAAAACGGTTCTTTTTAGAACCACGACATTTTATTGAAATGTAAGATATAATTGATACCAGCCACATATCTAGTGTAATCATTGATTTTAAAGAATCAGATTCTGAATGGGATTATGGCTTGTTTGAAATATAATATTCATTTTTGTTATTCATAAAAAAGAAGGTAAACTTACATTCGGTATCTTGTTTTTTAACTAAACTCCATTAACACGATTTCATCTGGATACCGGAACTGGTAGATTAACTCAAAAATCAACTGCTTCACTATTTAAACTATTTATATTATTTTTTTAACTAAACTTTATAACCTTCTTTCATTTGCACACCAAATTTGGTAGAATAACTCAAAAATCAACTGCTTCACTATTTAAACTATTTCCACTATTTAATGACAAATCTTCACAAAATTAAACTATTGGCTGCCACAGAAACTTATCTGAAAATTACTTATCCAAATATGACTGATTTAAATCGATGTTATTTTATCACAGGAATGTTTACTTTGATGACTTGCAATTGCAATTGTCATTGCAATATGCCTGTGTGTTTGTAATAAGGAATAATAAATCCATAAACGAATCTAAGCTAATTAAGCACTTTCCTTGGAATGTATAAAATAGAACAGAATAGAACAGAATTATGACAAACTGCTATGCATTTAAAAAAAATAACCTTTTCACATTTAGCCAATTACGATCCTGCAACTGTCAGATTTAACTAAAATGTCATGCAATAATTCTCGACATTCTTTAAATCCTATATGACGTCAAAATTAGTGACGCACTGAAAAAAGGGTTTGGGACAGACTGTATTCAGAAGCGAGCATAGCTAAGAATAAGGTATGTGTAACTCTCCCAAATTATTGGCGTATATTATTGTCAATATTTGCAGAAATTTTTAAAGTATGAGGCCACTGAGTGCGTGGTTTGGAGTGGAGTTTAAACCTTAGGGGCAGTAAACAACGGAGGAGGGCAAGTTTGGTCTGTTGTCTATACGATTCAAACGAGGATTCGCGATATTTTTCGCGTAACTATCAGAGAGAGAGAGAGAGAGAGAGAGAGAGAGAGAGAGAGAGAGAGAGAGAGAGAGAGAGAGAGAGAGAGAGAGAGAGAGAGAGAAATACTAGCGACAGTCAGTAGTCGAGAGAGATTACATCTATTGCTAGCGGTAGTCAACAGTCGAGAGAGATTATGTATGTTGCTAGAGGCAGTCAACAGTCGAGTGAGAGTATTTTTCGTTTGTTATTTTAAAACTGTCTGTATCTCTAAAGGAGTAGGGTTGAAATGGGAGTAGGAATCATTACTAAGGGTTGGAGTAGGGTAATGATTTTAAAATTGAGGTAAAGAATGATAGTAATTCATACGAAAATATGACATGGTTTTTTGCATGTAAAAAATTGAACACATGGAATTGATCAGTCTCTTCCACACCTGTACCAACCGTAGTTGTTACTTCCCCATATTCCTTATATCATATCCTTACAATCTTCTCATATATACATAAGATCAATGTGAGCGTTTGTTTTTTTATACCTGTATTTTTCCATCAACTGCCTCATAATGAAAATTAAATTTGTTGTTGGTCTGTCTTGCATAAAAACAAACTAATTAGCCGATATTTGGGTTGGAAGCGTTATAATTCCCATATATAAAAAAGAAAACAAAGAACAATTCCGAAACTATAGAGGCATATCGGTTATTAGCACATCATATAAAGTGCTATCAATTATCTTGCTAAATACACTCTCACCATATTCGGAAGATATTCTAGGCGACTACCAATGCGACTTTCGTGCTGGAAGGTTAACTATAGATTATATATTTACCATCCGACAAATAGAGAAAAACTGGGAATTCAACCGCGATATGCACCAAATTTTCATAGATTTCCAGAAAGCATATGATTCCATAAAAAGAAGCAAATTGTGGATAGCAATGTTAGAAATGGGAATACCAAGAAAATTAATTGAATTAACGCAAACTTGCGTGACAGACTCATATGCGCAAGTACAGATAGGAAGCAGAACATCGATGCCATTTGTTATAAATTCAGGACTTAGGCAGGGGAACCCCTTGTCCTTGCTGTTCAATTTTGCTTTAGAATATGCAATAAGTAAAATATCGTTTGAGCTGACATGAGGATTTGCTTATCAAAACTGTTGCTGGCCTTTGCTGATGATATAGATGCAGTCATGCATTCTACAAGAGACGTGAGAGAGGTGTTTTCACAGCTCGATGAGGAAACAGGTAGTCTGGGTCTCCGAATAAATGAAGATAAGACGAAATACATGGTAGTAACCAAAAATACAAGACCACGATTTAGGCAGAACATCAGTTTTAATGATCACAACTTCGAAGTAGTAAAGGAGTTTAAAGACCTAGGGACGATAATCACAGCTGATAACCACATAGAAAAAAGGTCTCAGAAAGGATAGCTGCGGGAAATAGAGCATTATACTCCCTTTCAATATTATTAAGATCGAAGCTGCTAAAAAGAAAATCTAAATTAACACTGTACAAGTCGATTAGTCGCCCAATTATTACATATGGCAGTGAAACATGGACTCTCAACCAGCGGGAAATCAATAAGCTTCTAGTATTTGAGGGAAAGGTTCTCAGAATAATATTTGGCCTTCAAAGAGATGAATTCACAGGGGATTGGAGAAGACGCAGCAATGCTGAATTGGTGACTTTGTATGGAACTGAAAAATAGTTAGACATATCAAAGCAAACTGAATAAGTGTTAAATACAATGTTTTTTGAAAGACCAGATAGTAGAAGATCAGTAGGCCGTCTGAGAAAAAAAGGAAGGACGATGTTGAAGCCGATTTATCTAGAATTGGGGTACGACAATGGGAAATAGAAGCGCAAGATCGTAGAGGATGCCTACAATGTAAAGCCAGTGAAGGAAAAGAAGAAGATATTTGGGTTTTTTTACGTATCAGTTTATCAATTACTCTCTCCCATCTTTTTCATGGTATGACTAAGTAGTCTTA